GCGGGCGGGGCGGCGGGCCGCGGTGGGGCCTCCAGCGGCTGAGTCCCGTCTGTTCCGAAGCGGGAGCTGCCAGGGCTTGCTGGTGGGTTGGTCCCGGGGGCCGAGGAGAGGTGGTGTCGGACAGAGTGCCCGGGGCGAGGAAGTCGCCGCTTCCCAAGGCAGCGCCGGGGGGCGGCGCGGGTTTCACACGAAGGAGCCACGCGAAGTGCGTGTGACAAGTGCTGCGCGGGACACGCGGGCCTCCCGGGCCTGCTCTTCGTCGGCCTCGGTTTAACGCGGGCATTGTGTGTTCTTGGTCAGAGCTGTTGGCCTGGTTCCACAGCAGCTCATTTTAAATTCTCTTACGTGCGTCTGGTGGTCTCCCTGCCTGGGCAGGTGGTGCTGGCCTGAGGCCATCCTGGAGTCGGGGCTCTGCCCTTGGGGGTGATGTCTCGGGGAGGAGGGGGGCGCTGTGGTGGGAGGCAGGAGAGCTCCTCGGCTTCCGCTTCACAATGCCAGAGGCACCCTGGGACATTTTGGCAGGTTAGCCATGTGCTGTGAGGCTCTGCCCCCCATCCTCACGTTGGCTCTCTGCCCTTCTCAGCTTATGCTTTCTCCTGACTAAGGGTGGCCGTGGAAAATTGAGAGTGGAAAGGCAAGGAGATGCTACCATGCCCTGCTAGGCATGCTTGGCTTAGAGTGTGCCCTGAAGTACCATCCTGCTGGGTTTAAACCCCAGTCCGCGTGTGGGGCTGGCTTGGGGGTGGGCTGATGCGTGGAACGGTGTCCAGGGTGGTGTTGCCCTGGTAGTCCCTCTGTCCATCCCATCAGGACTACCTGCTCCTGTGTGGCTGCCTAGCTTTGTGGCATGTGCTGCCCTAGATGACCGGAGACAGCTGGTCATCGTGCTGACCAGAAGCAGGAGCAGCACCGGGAACTCCTGAGTGAGTGCGTGCCACGCATGTCAGGCTAGTGAAAAACTGCCTTGGCCCTGCAGGTATTCAGGTGCGGCATGACCAGGATCTGGGCTACATGCACCACAAGTTTGCCATTGTGGACAAGAAGGTGCTTATCACTGGCTCCCTCAACTGGACCACGCAGGCCATCCAGAACAACAGAGAGAACGTGCTGATCATGGAGGACTCCAAGTACGTGCGGCTGTTCCTGGAGGAGTTTGAGCGCATCTGGGAAGAGTTCAACCCCACAAAGTACAGCTTCTTCCCGCAGAAGAAGCAAGGCTGCTGAAGCTGCCCTTCTCTGCCTTCAGAGCCTCAGAAGCATGCTCCAGTGACACTAACCACCCTCGGAGAATGGTTCTGGAGACTGCATGCTGCCCCTACGGGCTGCTGAGCTGTGGAGAGGCCAGGATGCTGTAAAGTCCTTACTCGGGGTTGCAGTGGTGCACATCGGTAATCCCTGCTACTTGAGAGGCTAAAGCAGGGGCTCAGAAGTTTGGGCAACTCACCAAAACCCTCAGAAAGGCTGAGGGCATAGCTCAATGTGGAGTGAGCCTAGCATGCATGAGCCCCTGGCTTCCAGCAAGGCCAAAACACAAAAGGTAATATTGTGCACTTAGAAGTGACCTCACTCTTAACTGCTGGACATGGTAGACTCTGTTTGGGCTCATGTAATGGATAGCGAGTTCCCTGATCACGTGAGAAGCACATTCAAGGTGAGGCAAGTCCCTTCTAGCTGTGGCATCCTTCACAGGTAGTTGGGAGAAGAGGTATCTTGCATGTATTTGTGAAAAGTTGGAAGTTTTTTTTTATAATGTGTATCCTGCATGCAGGTAACTCAAATGACTTCTGAAGCTACAGTCTTGGTGACTGTCCAAGGTCTTTCTGAGCAACAGGAGTGTTTCCCCTTTCCACCGTTACTTGTGATTTAGAGTTGGGCATGAAACTTGAAGTTAATTTAAAAAAAAATGAATATATCCAGAAGTGGTTATGTTATGTTCTTTCTCAAGTCTGAATTCCCAGCGTGTGTTCTGGAAAGACAGTGGAGTGAAATCACACAATGTGATGCTGCTGTGGGACCCTGAGTTTCTGGCATGTTTGAATAAATATGTTTATTCTAGAGTGCAAATGCTGAGTGTCTCTGCCTTTGTGTACTGCAAACAGTGGCTGCTCTGTTAAAACTTTCCTGGTGGGGGTATCCTGCTATTTAGACACTGGTGGTCATGGTAGGCTCATTGGTTCCTTCAGAGTCTAGATTTCCCTTCCAACTGTGTCTGCAGCCTCACAAGTGTAGTGGTTAAAGCTGTGATCCATTTTGAGTTCATTTCTGTGTATGCTTTGAGGTAGGGTGTCCAATTTGTTTTCACACGTTGCTATCACTTCTCCCAGCACCAGTTTGTTGAAAAGATGATTCTTTCCCCCAATGAATGGAATTTATACCCTTGTTGAAAATCAGAGGGACAGTTCTGTGTCTGTCCTAATGCCAGTACCATACTGTCTTGGTTAAGGAAGCTGGGAAGTAAGTATTGGAACTTGGTAGCATGAGTCTACTTGGTTCTTTTTTTCAAACAATGAATGGTACATTCTGGGTCTCTTGTGCTTCTGTATAAAAATTGGCTGAATCAGTTTCTAAAAGAAAAAAGCAGCTAGGTTTGTGGAAGGGGTTGTGTTGAGTCTGTAGCTGTAGTTGAAGAGCATTGCCCTTTTAGCCTTCTAACCCATTTAATACACGAGATGTCTTCCCACTTATTTAAATCTTTGGGCTGGGCGTGGTGACATATGCTTATAATCCCAGCACTTGGATCACTACAAGTTTGAGGCCACGGTGTGCTACATAGTGAGTATAAGGCCGACTACATATAGCAAGATCCTGTCTCAAAAAACCCAACCCAACCCAACCCAACCCCCTTTAATTTTCAATGTTTGCAGTATAGAAGTCTTTAAAAAATTTCTTGGAATTGTTCAATTTCAGCTTCACATGTTCATGACTCGTGTGCAGAAAGAACAGATTTGTTTTATTAGCATATGCTTGTAATACAGATAATTACATTCAGTTTGGGGAACTGGTACATATATTCATCACTCAATTACTTTTATTGTCCTTTTCCCTCCGCGGCCCTCCTCTGTCACAGTGGGTTTTTAGATACTGACTTGTGTTCTGCAAACTTGCTGAACTTACTCGAACAGAAGTTCCACTGGGTTCCTTAGAATTCCTCATGTAGTACAGAATTTCATTTGCAGGTAGCTTTTCTTCCTGTTCAGTCTGGATGCCTTGTAATACTACCTCTTGCCTAACTGCGCTGGCTGCACTCCTCTGTTTAGTCTCGAGTGGAAGGGGTGAGAACATCCTGATCTTGCCCTGATCTTCAGAGGAAGCACCCCGTTTCTCATGGTGACATGAGCGGGGGGCTTTCACAAATAGCTCTTAGCATACTGAGGAAGTTCAGTTCTATTCTTGCTTTTTTTTTTTTTTTTAACTAGTTTGCAAGTGCCGGCTGACTTTAAATTGCACTATGCACTTAGGCAGCTTTTAAAAAAAGAACAGCATGTGGCCACTAGGGAGAGAGGCAAGTGTATGGCAAGCTTGAGTACAGGCTTGCGACTCAGTCAGGCCTCTCTGAAGATGGAAAGGGCTGGGATGCAGTGTAGTGCTCCCTGGGTGCAATCCCCAGAAACAGTAACGTGCACGCACGCACTACGTAACACTTACACGCCAGTCCCAACACTTTGTTGTGTATATTTGACTACAGTAATTTTTAAATGGGTAAAACGTTATTGAAAGATGAAGAACACATTAAAGATATTTATCTTTTTATGTCTGTACTTTTTGTTTTGATGTTTTATTAACTTCTTGAACTGACTTCTAACTGGTAGAAATTCTGTATTTTTTGACTAACAGGGAGTATTCTGTTAAGTTTTGGGCAGTAGTTGTGTGTGGTTTGGATCACAACATAGAATGAACTTCTCTTTGGGGGCTGGGGATTTAGCTCAGTGGCACAGCGCCTGCCTGGCAAGTGCAAGGTCGTGAGTTTGATTCCCGGTACCAGAAAAAAGAAAACCAAAAAATCCCAAAGAATGAACTTCTTTTAAACAAAAGGCATACTTTTACTGCAAATAAATCCATTAAATTAGTATGGTGGTGCATGCCTATAATCCCAGTACTTGTGAGGCTGAGGCAGGAGGATTGCTGGTGAGTTTGAGGGCAGCCTGGACTGTATAATGAGACCTTGTCTTAAATAAAAAACAAATCCATTAAGTGGAGCAGAATAGTGTTATAGTACCTTCACTAATGAAGGGATATCATCAATATTTTTTATTATTCTGTTAGCTCCTGAATGTACCTTAATTAGATTTCAGATATAACATATTTCTGCGATTTGTGTATAAATATGTAAAATCTGTATTTTTACAGGATATCTCCCAATTTTAACATGCTTAAAATTAGTCCAAAACTTTGAAAAACAGTTAAAAAAAAGATAAAGAACCAGCCCACTCTATTGCTAGTCAGCTGACAACCTGACTTATGACCTAAACGCACGTTTTGCACATAACCACTCCATCAATCAACACTTTGTGACACAGCATGCAAAAGAGGATGCAAAAATAGTTTATTGTGATGCAGTTCATGTGGTTTGGTAATATTTACAAAATAAAAATGGTCAGCTACATCCATGGGCATCTAGCATGTCACACAAATATTTTGACAAAGTCACACTTCAGTTGTAATGAATACTTGATCACAAATGTTGTAAGAAAAAAGTGCCTCAATCTGAACCACAAAGTCGAATTGTGTGTGTGTGCAGGGTGAGGTGTTTAGTTCCGAGGGCTGTGTCTGGTGGAAGCTGACTGCTGTGGGTCATGGGGTCCAGGGGCCTCTCAGACCTGAGACCTGAGTTGACCCCGGGGCAGCCGCACACGTGATCTATCTACCTGGTCCATCAGGCCTCAGATTTCTCCTGCACACACTTCTGCGTCGGTAGGCATGATCATTTAGCATTAGAACAGAGCTAAACAGTTAAAATGACGCATGCCTGTTCGCTGAACGTTTGTCACGTGACTGCGGAAGCAGGTGTGGCAGAAGTGGTTCCCTGGATTCCTCCCAGAGCTGTTGCAGCAGACAGCGGTCACACACATGCCTTACTCTGTTCATGATCAGCTCCCCAGGAAGTCCGGCAGTACGCTTTGTTAGCTAAACCGAGAGACAGTCACACCTTCTTAGGAGGAGGGTGTATTTGTGAGAAAGATTACTGAGAATTCTAATTGTTGAGGAGCCACTTGGGATACTTTACACTTCATAAATATTTCCTGAGGAAAACCACATGAGTTAATTATCACTTAATTGGTCTTAAATCCTAACATTAAATCAGTAAATGTCATTAATATTAAAGGTAAATCCTAAAATCCTTTCAAACCCATTTTATTTGAAGTTTTGTGAAAAACAATAGTGAATTTAGTGTTCTTTATAATCTACCCTAGCTAAAATAAAACGTGATAACTGACTTCTGAAGGGGCAGAGCCAAGGGCATGCTGACTGTGGCAGGCTGCAGGGGGCTGTCCGTGTCTCAGGACAGCTACCTTTCCCCAAACTTCTTTCTTTATGGTGAATCAGAGTTGCATGCTCTGCCACAGAAGCTGCAACCTCAGCTCACTGCTGCGAACCACAGAACACAACAGTGTCCTACAGGCCGTCCTCAAGTACTGGACTGTCCAATCCTTAACTCTTCTGTGACTGTCTCCTCACTGATTTCATAGAAATCAGGTATTGCTAAGACGCCTTTCAAGCTTGGCGATCTCTGTGGAGTTACACGATACAGCCAGACACCTCTGAACACAGCCCTGAGGAGTCCCAGAAGCTGTAGAAACCAAGGATTTGGACCTGACAGCAGACTGTGACTTCGGCCACACCTGCCCACAATGAAAGGCCTGGAATTACTGTGCACAACAGACTGATCAAGACATAGCTCTCATTTTCCCGCTTTTCCTTGACTCTGAATGGCTCCAAGAAGGGGTTATAGAATACTTTCAATGCAAAGCTATGGATGGGGGATTACTACTGTTTTAGATACTATACATTCTTTTAAAACCATCTGTTATATGACCAAGGCTTTTAAAAAGATAGAAGTCATTAAAAACATGTACTTATGATGCTGGGTAGAGTTCCAGTGTGTACCCAAAGGTGTCCTCTCCCATGTAAGAGTTTTAAAAAACCCACGAAACTTCTTCATAAAAGTACAGTCACTTGTCAGTAATATTTACACTGCTTGCTCTGAATAATATACAGGGAGCTGAAGAAATTAAAGGCAGCACCTGAGGACCTGACCCTCTGTGGGCTCAGACGGCAGTTTGTCCTGTCTCTGAGCCACCGGTTTGTTACTGCTGCCCTTGCTCTGGTCAGGAGGCGGACATTCTCTCTTTGCAAAGAAACACCCGAGACTCCCAGAAGGTACAAAGAGGCGGGTGGTGTCTTTTGTGGCAGGCCCAGGAGAGGTGCGGATGCATTCCTGTGCTGCCTTGTCCCCTTCTGCTGAAGAGCCTTCAGCTGGCGGTATTACTGTGCCTCCCTCCCAGCTGGCTCTTCCTGTGTTCAGCTGTGGAGTGTTGCTTGCTGAAGGTGCACGGTGGTCCCCGCTGGATGCTCAGAGGTGCAGGAGTGGGGATGCCGAACCCCGTGACCCCTCCCTGACATCAGGCGACGTGGGGCCTGAGGTTGCTCATCTAGCCCTGGTGTTTGGGAAGCAGGGGACAGTTGGAAGCCAGGGAAAGCCTGCTTGCTGGTGTGGGCACACTGCTGGGGCCCTGCTCACTCACCTGGGGGGCCCTGGTGCAGGGCCTGCCAGATTCAGCAGGCCATGTGTCACCCAGCTACCCCCGAAAGCCAGTCATTAGTGATGAAAAAGACTTGGTGCAGTTCCCAGCACTTCCATGTGGACAAGAGTAAGTCCTGTGTGTACCTGTACAGGGAGGTGAACAGCAGTACAGACATTCCTTAATGGCTTCCAAGCCACCCGCTTTGCTTCCTGGCGCTTTCAGGATTCCTTCTGGGCATACTTTGAGGTTTACAACTGCATCCTTTTTTGCTTTTTGGTACTGAGAATTGAACTCAGGGCCTTGCGCTTGCCAGGCAGGCGCTGTTCCCCTGAGCTACATCCCTGACCCAACTGCATTGTTTTAGTAACTGAACTTCCCTCCGCCGAGTCTGGCTTGCAGGAGCCATGGTCAGTGAGTGAGTCACTGGATCCAAAGCTAGTGCACAAGCATTCTTGCTGGTCTGTTGCTTTCTGCCCAGCGTGCGGGCCTGTACCTGGTGCTCTTCTGCCTTTGAGCTTGCTGAACCTGAAAGAGTCTCTACTCTGCCTTTAGCACTTACTTGACCAACCTTCGTGTTCCCAACTCACTCCCTGGCCTCCCAGGATACAGGCTGTTTCATCTCAGCCCAGGGCCCTTCTCGACTCCAGACCGCCAGCTTTAGGGCTCCAGCCCCCCTGAGACGCACATGCACCTGGGTGGCTGCAGGTGGTGCCCTCCCACGGCCTGTGGCCATTCGTACGCGCTGGATACCACACATGCCGACAACCTGACCAGCGGAACATGGCTGTACTGTGTGTGGGTGTGGGTTTGCACACAAGGCCATCTGCGCAGATTTTCATACTAAAAGCTGTCGGACAAATGGTTTCCCCACTAGTCTTTAGCCTGGCTTGCTTGCATGTACTGGCAGATTATCAAATGAGTATTTATAGGAAAACAGAACCGTGTAGTATATCCACTTCACAGTCCCCTCGCTGTGACGTGGGGCAAGCTTGCCACTGCTTGTGGGCTCTGCGTGTGGCCAAGGCTCCCGGCACCCGGCACAGCCCAGCGCGCAGACCCTGCACCTGCAGCTGCCCCGCAGAGGACCTCAGTCTACCAGCGCACAAACCAGCTCCTCTTCCTGTTTCACCTCTCCTGTCTGTGCGGCGTGTGCCTGTGGCAGTGTGGCCGCCACGCAGCTTCTGCCCCGGGACACATCTGGTGACACAGGAGGAGTGTCTGCACTCTCTCTGGCTGAAGAGCAGAACCCAAGAGCAGGAAGCTCAGACTCCTCTCGAACCGAGCTGTGGCCGCCCCACTGGCACTGCTCAGAGCTGCCTGGCAGGTGCAGCTGACACTAGGAAGCCGCAGCAGAGCAGCCCAAACCCTGCCAGCTCCATGTCCACAGTCCTTCTCTGGTGACACACACACCCGCCAAACCGGCAGGAAGTCCTGCTGTCTCATGTCAACTACGGGGTCCTCACCAAGAAACCGCAGTGATGGGAGAAGTGCAGGTGTCCACTCACCGGTCTCCCTGGTCCTTCCCTTTCACCTCCAAATGCTGCACTTAACAAGATTATTTTCTAGGCGTTCTGAGGTCCAGCCTCAAGGGACAGAACAGTGATAAAGAAAAACAAATAAAATGCTCTTTTGCCCTGTAGGTCAACCTGCCTTTATTCAGAGAACTGTGCAGTTTGAAGGCAGATGGAGCGCATCTCCTGCAGCACCTGGGAGGGAAGTAGGCAGGGAGCTGCCTGAAGCAGGGCCAGAGGGTCCCTAGGGCATTGAGGATGGTCACAAAGAAACTGCTAGAGCAGGAAATGCAGTGACTCTCAGGGAACCAGGTGAGATCGCAGTACCCGGAGACCAGGCACAGCGTGCCCCTGCAGGGTCCCAGTGAACAGCTGCCTGCACTGAGCACAGCACAGAGAGGTCATGGCCATTTCTCAGGGCTGCCGATCTGCGTGGTGGGATGTGTCTGAAAAGCAGATGTTTAAAACATTTAATTTGCTCTTGCTGTTGAAAACGTGGAACAGTAAGTAGCAAAGGAACAACAGTGTGGGTGAGGACTCAAAAGCTCATGACAAAGGGCAGCTTGGAGCTTGGGCAGGGCCAGCCACACCCAGGGAGGGCACACCAGGCAAGCTGCAAACCAGTGACTCCTGTCCATGCACCGGGGTGGGTGAGACAACCTGGTAACTCTGCCCATTAACTAATCTAAGAACTGAGCAAGGGGATTTCTGTGTTTTTATTCCCAAAGCATCCACGCATCCAGAGACCTTCCAGACAACTCAAGATCAGCACAAAGTAGAAGCTTTGGCAGTGGAGCCAGTGGACCTGGAGGTGGGGTCCTCCAGGCATGCACTTGTGACGCTCCCACCTCACTCTTACACAGCAGGAACTCTGTTAATATGCCAATCTTAACGAAACAAATAGTTTTTACAGGACTAGAATACAGATCTCAATGCAGGAGATTTTCAGGAAGTGCTGCAGAACATTCTAGGGCAGTGCAAAAAGAAGTCTCAGAATGTTAGAAAAGCAAACTTCTTTGCGCAGGTTCACTTCAACTAGGTCCGCTGGAGGTACTTGCTCCACTGGAACTTTGCAGAGCTCACACTGATCACAGTCCTAAGCATGTACTGCTGGCTGTTCTCTCCAGGGTCCGACATCCTCTGGACTTCCTCTTGACTTAACAGAGGGGCCTGGCTCTCAGCCTTTTCAAAGCAACATTACAATTTCTCTTCAAAGATTTTTTAAAACGAGCATCTTTTTCCCCTTTGGAGGACTACCTCAGGACATACATCCCTTTCTGCAATCAGGCTGAAGCCCCAGGCAGCAGGTCAGCTGTCCCGGTGTGAGGACAGGACTAGGCTGCTGCAGGACAGGGAGGCACGAGCGAGGAAGGAATGAGAGGGGTCTGGGGTTTTGTGCAAGATTTAATAAAAAACAAACAAAAATAGGAATGGTTGCTTTCCACATTTTCCAGGTTGTGAAAGTTAGCCAGGATTATTTAGGGCGTGGTTCTAAGCTGCATTAGTGGAGCAAATACAAAATGCCGTCCTCCTCCCAGGTCAAAAGGCAGTGCTCACAGGCTGCACACCCGTCTGGGTCGCTGTCCCCTCCAGCACCCAGGCCGGCAAATTGCCTGCACCGTGGCACAGGTCAAATCAGGACATCAAGGTGGCTCTTCTCTGACCAACAGGGGCCGTGCCCGCCTGGTGGTGCCGCGCTGGGAGCAGCAGAGCTGGAGCGCGGGCCAGACCTCCACACCGCACTCTGAGACGGGGCTAGCTTACTGACAGGCTGCTGCGCCTTAATACTGACAGTGAGTGCGGTGGACGTCGAGAAGGGCTCTACTCGGATGCGGGTGGTGCTCACCACCCCACTGCTGGGGCCTGACCCGTCTCAGAAAACCACGTGAAGAAAGTGGTGATAAACACAACAGGAAGTTGGAATGGTGTGGACAACCCACACACCAGTCTGTCACGTATCCATACCCACAGTTAACGACAGTAACAACAATGATAAAAGAAAGGTACAGACAAAAAGCCGCGCTCAGGTTGTGCTGTCACCAGCCAGGAAGGGTGTGTTGAGTGGCACGGGACACAGCTAGTCTTTCTTCAAGTCCCTGGATTCAAAGAGCTTCAGCCGCTCCTGCACCGTCAGGCCTTCCTTCAGACTCTGGGCAGAGGAAAGAAAGGTAGGTCAGATCCAGCAGGGCAGGCTCGGGCTTCCGTCAAGCGGGTGGAGGCGGAGGCAGGGTGAGGAGGGTGGGCTCCGGAGATTAGTGGGCATGCTAGGACAAGAAACACTGTGAAATGGTGTTACTGGAATATGACTTCCAGGAAGCAACTTACTTGGATGGAAAAGGGAAAAAATTAGAGAAACAAGATCACATGTTTTAAGTAGCTCGATTCTGGACTCAGGGCTCTTCAGACAAGTGGAGATCAGAATGACCCAGCCAGGAGAACAGTCGTAAGGACTAGATGCCTGCCCAGCTCTGTCTCTTACTGCAGGTGATTTGTGAATACCCGGTTCCTTTGAGTTTATGAATCCAAACGCCTTCAGGAAGAGCGCCCTACTTCCCCAGTGCTGAGCGCCCTTCAGACGATCTGCGGGTGGAAGCCTACGAGACTGCTGGACGGTGGGAGACTGGGAGCCTGCGGGGGTAGGGCAGTGCTCCGCTCACACCCCAAGAGGACGAACCCTCTGACTGGGGACCGGGTACTCCCCACTTGGCACTTAAGACTTTGCCCAAACACTTCATGTCTGCAAGAGAAAAGCAGCACTGCTTCCAGAGCAGCTGGAAGCGCATGGGTTCTGCTGTCTGCTGGCCAGCCTGGTCCTCGGCTGCCACCTTCCCCCTCTGCAGTGGGCGTCAGCGCTGGCTTGGCCTGGAGACTCTGGGGCTCACTACATCAGCGCGGACAGGCACAGGTTTTATGGGGAGCAGGACACCTCACGGGAGGCCTCTGGCTTTGCACCCACACCACCGTATCAGTCTTAGCCACAATCTTGGATAGTGTGACGCGCCCGCTGGGCCCCACACCCTGGGACCTGCAGGGAGGGCCCAGCGCTTCTCGAGGCCTGGGGAAAGCTACGCACAGGCAGCGTCTGCTGTGTGCACTGGGAGCCCTGTGTGTGTCAGCAAGTGAGTAAACACCACGCCTGGCCTGAAGGAGTCCTCAGGGTCACTCTGCCTGAGCCTAGGTGTCCAGCAGCAGCAGCCAGACTCCTACGAAGTGCTGGGCAGACATCTAGTCACAACCCAGGCAGGTGGCTTGGACTAACTGCCCCTGCAGGACAGCTGGTGGGTGTTTGGCACTGCCACACCTGCTCCATTCCCGCTGGGAGCTTCCTTCCAGGACTGCAGGACCCAGCTGCTCCAGAACCCGTGTAAACAGCAGGTATCCAAGATTCTGCGACTGCCTGTGTGCACCACGAAGGAGGTTCTGCCTGGCTCACAGAGTCCCCTGCCTTCCACCCACCCTGTGGATCTGGGCAGAGGGGCTCAGGCGAGGCCATGCTTACCCAGACAGAGGGCAGACAGGCCGGGCCCTGCATTCCCTTCCCCTGGAAGGATTGTCTCTCCTTCCAAAACCTCTGTCTCCTCTCCTGGTTGCGGCTCAGCCTGAAGACAGGGCCACACAAAGACTGCTCCTCATGGGGCCTGGGGCGCAGCCAGCTGCCTTTGGGATGTGTCCCCTTCCCGAGCCGCAGACCACAGACCCGGAGCTCCCGTAACAGCCCTACGCAGAGAATACTCTGCCCCTCTGATCCCTGAAGATGTGGTGCTGCTGTTTAAGTGCAGCACAGCAGGCACCAACACCACCAGTCCCTACACAGCAGAGGACGAGCACCAGCGGGAGGCTCAGCTTCTGGCCAACATCACCGTGTCTTTCTGAGGGGCTGGAGACAGGTTCCAAGTGCACTCAGAGAGGCACAGCGACACCGCGCCGAAGACCAGCTCTAGCCCTCCCCCACTACAGGACTGCGCTGTCCCCAAGGATGCCTGTGAAGCCCCCATCTGTATGCTGGGGCCCACAGGACGGCTCTGCACACCGAGGGCTTTCTTTTTACCCCAGGACCTGGTCATCCCAGATAACAGAAAACACTCTGATGAAGACCCCACCCTGGGTCTTGCTCCTCCTTTCCTGGTCCTCCCGAGTCTCCCCAGTCCCACCTGGGCTGCAGCCGTTTCCCAGGTAGCGCACGACTCCCACCCACTGGCACCAGTGCCACACCACCAAGGTCCCTGGTGTTGAGCCCTGCTTGTTTTCACATCCCACAGGAACTCCAATGAACTGGGCGCCCCTGCAGGCTGCTTCCTCATGGTCCTGCAGGATCTCTGTCCCCTTCCCCAACTGTCATTTCTAGGCTAAGCACTGCCACGCTGATTCGAAGGCCCAGCTCGCTCCGTGAACTCCAGTATACTCGAGAAAGGCAGCAGCCAGAGTTCAGCTTCAGCAAATGGGCTCTTTTTTTTTTTTCCTTGGTCTTTTTGAGACAAGAGTCTTGCTATGTACTTCAGGCTGGCCTTGAGCTCACCCTGTAGCCCAAGCTGGTCTCAAACTTGCAACGATCCTCCTGCCTCAGCCTCCCGAGTGCTGGGATTACAGGTGTGCACCACCTCGTCCAGCAACAAATGGGCTCTTTGATATGCAATCCATGAGCCAAAAAAAGAGAGCAAGTTTCCTTTTTCTTTTCTTTTTTTTAAGTTTCCTTTTTCTAAACAAAACATTTCTTCATGTTTAAGGAAAAAAATCCCAAACTCTTTTCTATGAAGCCTAAATCATATTTGAGTAAAAGTGATTTGGGATGAGGGAAGGGAAGTAAAACCAAACTGACTAGGTATAAACCTCTGGGTTTTCTTGGTACTCTATCTAGAGCAAACACCTTAGGCCAACGTGACAGGACTCCCAGGGTGTCCTAGAAGGTGGATGTGCGTGTGCACAGCAGAAGCCCACGCTGTGGCCTGCAGGTCCAAGGCAGGCCAGCACCCCGACATACTCCTTCCTCTCCCCAGACAGGAGCAGTCAGAGCTGCTGTGCCAGCGACCACACATGCTCCAGGGATGCCCCTGTTCACACTCAGACAAGCAGCTGCATCCCCTCTTTTGGCCAGGGCAGTAACTCCCCCATGGCACCACGAGACAGGCTTGTGTTGTTTTTTAAGATGCCCTGGCACACGAGGGCAGCATCCGGGCACAGACTACGGTGTGCTGACCAGTTGTTCGGGAGCCTGACCCGGAGCCCTGGAGGATGAGGTGGCTGGGAAGGGCTGTGAGGAGCTCAGGGCTGCAGGTACCTGCTCCATCTGCAGGGAGGCTCATGGGCGGCCTGGCTTGCTACCCAGTGGGTGAGGTCTTCCGTAAGGTCAGGCTTTGCTAGCCTCGGGCAGCATGTCTGTTACCACTACCTCTATACAGAGGACAAGACAGATTTGTTTCCCAGAGAGGGTGGCGTGAGCTCATCACCGTGCACAGACCACCCAGCATGCATGCCACCCTGCCTACTCAGGGTTGGCTCTAAGGGCCGCCCCGCCAAGCTGGGAGAGTGCCATGGACAAGAGGTTAGAGTGCCAGTCAACTCTCAGGACAGGTTACAGAACCTCACAGGGATTTGTATGTGCTTGCTAGAGTAGGATGAATTAAAATAAAGTAACAACACAGGCGTGTGCTATGGAGGTGTGAGCGGTACATGCAGAGAGCTACCCCGCATGTGCGGGCAGGTGGGCAGTGGTAAGAGGCAGTTTACCTACACAACAGGGGACCGGGAAGCGGGCGCGAGTCAGTTATCCCATGAGACCTGCTCAATTACAGACTGTCAGAGGAAAGAGCAAAAATAAGACACATACACAATCAATCCTAAATGCAACATGCTGGCCGCACCCCCCGCCCATCCTACCCATGAAGACGCACGCCTGCTCTGGGGCGGCATGGGAGCTGGCTACAGTGCGGCTGGGAAGGCAAGCAGGCGGCTCAGTACTACAGCAGCAATGTGCAAGGACAATACGAACAGTGACGGACACAGACGGGCGGGGAGAGCCTCGCCTCAGAGGTAAAGGACCCAACAGGTCTCACTGCCCAGCAGGGCGCTGCGTGGGTGGGCTGGGGCAGGGCCTGGGGACTCTGCCACTCTGTGTGGCAGGTTTAGCCTTGGCCTCGATTCTCACCACCCCCTCCCACCCTGCAGACCCACCTGCCCGGGGCCGGACCCAGCTCACCTTGGACCTGATACTTCTGAGTTGCCGGGTGACACAGGATCGGTCTTTCTTCAGAAAGTCAGGATTGCTTTTAGACTTCATTATGTCTGAAGGGACAGAAAGACCCGTTTTCTTTGATTTATAAAACCCTCTAGAACAAGAGAAGGTTAAAGGTTCTGGACTTCCTACTGCAGCACCTGTCTCCTCTAACGGCCCTAAGGGAACCTCGCGCCCTCAGCAGTACACAAGGGGCCCCTCTCAGAGCACTGCAAAGCACTGGAGCTTGGGAGCCTGCGAGGCCTGAAAAGGCTTCAGCTCCTGACTGCGCGCGCTCGCTCGCTCTCAGGAGGGGGCTGGACGTCAGCAGATAAGCAGACGAAGTGGCCCCACGACCTGCTCATTCCCAGCTGCTTCCTGGGACAAGACCAAATCCTCGCCTCCCCTCCGGCTCCCCGCTGGCGTCTTCCGGGCTCCCCTGCAGGTCTGCCTCCACACAGAGGAGCGGACTCACGGGGCACACCACACTGTGTGTCCTGTGCATGTGGGGTTTGGCTGAGCTCTTCTTTGAGGTGCGAGGGATGAGTCCAAGGTCTTGCACATGCAAGACAGACATTCTACCACCGAGTTACCATCTCAAGCCTGTTTTTTGTTTTTCATTTAAAATATTTGGCACATGCCTATAATCCCAGCACTTGAGAGGCTGAGGCAGGAGGATCGTTGTGAGTTCCAGGCCAGCTTGGGCTACAAAGTGAGCTCAAGGCCAGCCTGAACTGTGTAGGGAGACCCTGTCTCAAAAAGACAAAAGAAAAAAAAAATGTATGGATTTCTTCCCACGTCAAAACACAAATATCTGGCCTCTCTGAAGAGCTGCTGACCACCCGCTGTGTGGCAGTACTGCAGCCTACAGCCCTCGGCTCGTTTCATGGTGGAATGCTGCTTTCTGCTCTCGTATACAGATGTTTGCTTCTTTCTGCGTAACTGTTTTCTCCGAAGTTGTTGGCTAGAACAAAGGCATTCGCACCTCCTCATGATTCTAGGTCTTCCTTTCCCCCCGTGCCCTGATGCCACGGGTTCTTCCTTGGAAGCTGCTGCTGTCCCCTCTTCAGAGGTGCTCTGTAGTTTGATTTGTAATCTTGCTGCACGCTGCCTGATGCTTTCCAGAAAGAGCGCTCATTTGTCCTCCTATCAGCAATGCACAAGACTTCCTCCATGTGTGCGTCAGTACTGTTACTGCCACTACTCCTCGGCTAGCTGATACAGGAAATTGAGTATTTTGACTGCTAGGGAGCCTGAACAGCTTTTCACACATTTATGTGTCTTTTTAAAAAGTCAGCACGTGCTGAGTGTGGTGGTGCATGCCTGTCCATAATCCCAGCTCCTCGGGAGGCAGAAGCAGGCAGATCGAGACTTTGAGGCCAGCCTGGGTAACTAAGCAAGATCCTGTCTCAAAATTGAAAGGGAGAGGTAGGCTAGGGTTGGATAGCTTAGTGGTAGAGTGCTTGCATCGCACATCTGAGACCCTGGGTTCCATCCCCAGCATGGAAAAAAAGTCGACATGAAAGTTAGATGGAGTCTTAGATTATCTTGACAAGATGGCTCCTTAAGCCCCTCTGAGATCTGTCTTTCATGGGCACTTGTGTGTTTTTAGCCAATAACGAAGGGTCAGTCCCACTGTTTACTGAAAAAGGTGGTGGCTTCCTCCTCTGCCCAACCTGCGGTCATTACAGGTTTTATAGCAAAACCCTGAGATCATGTTTCTAGCAAGAGTTTTTCCTCAGCTACTGAGATTTTTAGGAAAACAGAGAAACAAAGCCTGGTGCATTATGCACATATGTGTGGGCAGAGCAACTTCTCCCGGGAGCTGGGCCTGGACCAGGGCGGGAAGGGGTCCTCGCTGCTGTACTCCACTTGCGAAGAGGGTGCAGGGCTGCCACGTATTTGGCTCCGTCCTTCTGAGTCAAACAAAGAAAGCTCCACAGATGTCACCCGAAGTACTCACCATAGCCTGCCACAGCAGTGCTCTCGGGGGACTTTTCCCCCAGTGCTTCTGTAGCCGCTTTCAGCTGCTCTTTCAACCTACTGATATCACAGTCTGCCTTGGCCTTTGCGATGCTGAGCTCTGTGTAAATGTCTTTGTATTTGTCACTAGCGTATTTTTTGTCCTAGGAACAAAGGGACAGAAGCAAATAGTAGATATTAACAGGGGAAGAGGCTCACACTGGTCCCTGGCCTGCCCATCCTTAGCGCTGACACACTGCAGGAGAACTGCCTGGGGCCTGGGGCCCGGCCCTGGCAATGCACAGGGCAAGAATATGTGGGTCTGCATCTCCCAGAGGCAGCAACTGGACACAAAGAAAACAGGATCTGTGGATATGGGCATGGCAGATTGTCTGTATGTGGCACCTGAATTCTGGGGCCAGCACACAATTATAGAGCCAGCAGCACCCTTGATGGCCTGGCACCCTTCCTCGCGGACTCCAGCTAGATAAGCCCCACTAGCTTGGTTTTCCTAAGTGACCAGATGGCTGCCAAGGATTCTGTCACCTCCTTTTATCATTCCAGGAGCCACCTGAAGGAGACACGTTAGACCCGATCTGAACGGCAAGTCAGGACTTGCTCTGTCTAGGTGTCACCCTTCCCGCCAACCTACACAGGGAACAGGTGATGAGGACCATGTGACCGGCGATGGGCTGCACATTTCCAGGGCACCTGCTTGGAGGGTGGTGTCTGAAGAGAACGTGACCTCAAGGTCGCCACCCTCGTGAAAGTGGGGTCTACTCGTGAGCAGCCAGCATGGAGCTGCGGAGCCTGCAGCCTGTCCAAGGCCTGCCCGCCCGTGGGGCTCTTACCCGTAGTGCTGTCTGGAGCTCATCCTTGAGAGAGCTGATCTCCTGCTTCAGATACTGTATCTCTGATTCCTTGACCCGCAACAAGACCTACGGTGTGAGAGACATTAGGGACCTGAGAACCTCCGGTGCCTCAGGAGCACAGACTAAAGCAACTGGACAACGCATCCCAGAGGGAGCAAAGCTGTGCTCACCCTCACAGTGTCCAGCTGGAAATGTAACTTCAGTACTGCGCTACACTTCCACATTACACATAGAAACAGAAAGGAAGGAAGACACTGCTATCACCCTCCCAATCCTGAGAAGCCCTGCGTCAGCCTGGGGGCTGTCAAGAGCTGCCACTGGACACCTGCTGATCTCCTGAGATGGAGCCATCAAGGTTTAGGAAATGCTACACGAACTCTGGCCAAGCTGGCTGAGCCTTTTCCTGTCCACCTGGTCAGTAAAGTACTCATTAGACATTTTTAAGATGAAACTGTAATCTAATGGGGAGAAATCCACATGCTTTTCAAAAAGGACACCTTTTACACCAGAATCACCTTATACACGAATTTGCCCTGATCCCAGGAAGCAGAACGTAACACAACTGGGAGCAGCTGCAGCACTAACACAGCTATGCAATGGGTCACTTTACAGGTGCAGGGTCTGGGGCCTGCTAGAAATGGGGTTGGGGCTGGCAGGCAGGTGGAGGGGGGATGGGTTCAGTTCTCCATGGCCTCTTGAGGGGTTCTCTGCTCTGCCTGTGGATCTCAGGATAACTGTTCTCTTCCCCCCTCAGGCGATTTTGGCCTTTTTTATTCTTTGTGGTGCTGGAGATGGAACCCAGAATCTTGAGCACGCTAGGTAAGCGCTCTTCCGCTCAGCGACATCTCCAGCCCGCCTTCAAGTCGTGTCCCGTCAGCGGTACTGTAAGCTCAGGGGCCATCCTGCGTCCCGTGGGACTCCTGTATGGCGGAGTTGAGGAGGGCGAGCCGGCTTGTGGCCGTACCTCTAGCTCGTAGGCATCCTTTCCCTGTGTGAGCGGTGACCCAGCAGCCTCCCCATCGCCGTCCCCAGTCAGTAGTGTCCGTAACCGTGTGATCTCTGCAGCTAGGCGGTTATTCAGCTCCTGGGGGACAGTAACAAAACAGACGACACTCCACAGAGCTGTCTCAGAGTCAAACGCACAGCATAACTTGGAAACACTATCTGCCAGCAACATTTATGCTGATACTGAGCACAGGGCCTGTGAGCAGTGTGCCTGCCCACTGCTAAGTCTGAAGCTGGACCTTCGAAGGTAACAAAATGCATGGATGGTCTAGTGCCTTATACAAAGGGGCACAGCACTGGCATAAAGTTGAGGTGTGTTTAAATCCTGGCTAGTGGGCTGGGGATTTAGCTCAGTGGCACAGCGCCTGCCTGGCAAGCGTGAGGCCGTGAGTGCGATTCCCAGTACCAGAAAAAAACACAAGAAAAAACAAAAAAGAAAACAAAAACAAAACAAAAAGAATAAATCCTGGCTAGTGAGAAGGTCTGAGTTAGGGACATGGAGTCTGGCGTGAGCCCTCCGTGGGGCCTCGGGACTGGGTGTGCGATTGCTCAGGCAGGACCAGGCCCCCCTGACGGCTGGAGTGGCTTTACAGTGAGCACTTGTCAGCTGGAGGGAAGGTCCGGAAGGGGACGAATCCACCTCTCTACGTCAGCTGTAGTGCTCAAAAAAATGGCAGCGCCACATGTAGTATTACATTGTGCTGTTTAGGGAATAATGACATGGAGCAAAAAGCATGTAATATTCAGTGCAGATGAAGTTTTTTTCCCAAATATTTCCCACTTGAGTTGGTGTAAACTGCGGATGCAGAACCTGCAGACACAGGGCTGTCAGCACCTGAAGAGTCCTATGAGGATGCCGCTATTTCTATGTCCTTCTGTTATGACAAACAGCGTGTGCTTGCTCCAGTGTGTCCCATTTGAGTTTCACAGGACTTGGCCACCCCGCCACCTTTCACAGGACTTGGCCACCCCGCACACCCAGTCCCGAGGCCCCACAGAGGGCTCACGCCAGACTCCATGTCCCTAACTCAAGCCCTCTCACTAGCCAGGATTTAAATGCACCTCAACTTACAGATTCTAAGAGTGATCGTGGGGTGAGCACCCAGGCCCTACAAGCAATGAGTCGGAGATTCACAGAACCATTAGACTTTTGTCTCAGAAGGCCTAAAGCAACAGTGATCCCAGGTTCCAACAGCTGGATATACACAGGGCAGCCTCTCTGGCCACCTGTAGTACATTTGTGGTAATATGCCAAGAGCTATCAGATGCTACATGGCTCAGGGACCCCCAGGGTACTTGACGGTGAGGCCTGGCCTTGGGCTCACCTGGTTGTGGGCGTTGAGCTCTTGGTTCTCGCGCTGGCACTGCCGCAGGGCCTGCCTCTCGGCCTCCAGGGCCTGGGCCAGGTGGGCGTTCTCCAGGCACTTCTGCGAGTACTGCTCCGAGAGGACCTCCAGCTCCCGCTGCACCGACTGCAGCTCCTCCCTGGGGAAAGGGGAGCAGTCAGCCCTCTGCCCTACCCCAGGGCCCAGGGGTGAGCGGACACGCCAGCCACCCAAGTGCAGCCCTACCTGCGGGCAGCCCACTGAACGTCAGGGTCCCTCTGTGTCTCCCTCACAACCCAGAGTGCAGGAACCCTACAGCAAGCGCTTCTCTGCTGATACCACTTGAGACAGAATCTGGACCCAGTGGGGACAGACTCTCCTGACTTGGCAGCGATAGGCAGGCCCATGTTTTCTGTCATCTGAAGTAGACTGCCTACTTTCTCGTGTTATCTGAAAGCCCAGGTTTCATGTGAGGCACAGAAAACCTGCCCCTGAGACGCTGTCTTTGGCTACCCCCGATCCAGAGGGCAAAGGCCCCAGTCATGGGACCTAGGATGAGCGGAGGCCTCTCTGAGCTGTCGGGGCCAGGACACCGGCCAGCCCATCCCAGCCAGGTGACGGCAGCAACTCCATGGGACACCAGCTGAGCTGCCATGGCCTTGGGCCACTCGTCCTGAACCCTCCTGGGGTGGGGACCTGGTTCCCCAGGCCAGCTCTGGAACCCCACAGTGGCTTCCTCCTCAGGCAACACCCCCCGGTGCCACCTTGGTGCAGAGGGAGGTGGCACAGGTCAGCATTTAGAACACAGTCGTTGTGGTGACTTCTGCCATGGACAACCGCAGGGTACGGGGTACTGAGCACTGAGCACCCACTAGGTGCTCTACTCCCCACAAGAAACTGACGCAGCACCCATAAATAAAGAGCCAAGTGTGGTGGCCTCTACTATTAGTCCTGGGGCAGCGAAAACGTAAATTTTTCGTTTGTGGTGCCTTTCTCTACATTTTAAGAGATCTGTCTTCAACACAGGAAGCCCCAGGCAGGTCGGCTTCCCACTGAAGAGGAAAGGACCTGGGCTGCCCTCAGCACCATGGCACCGTGGCCTCCTCTGAGACGCAGCGGGGCTGGGGGCACTCACAGGTACTGCCGCCTCAGGGCTTCAATGTCTGAGTTGATGCTGCTGATCTGGGACCGCTGGCTCTTCTCCAGCTCACGCTCCATCTCCTCCCTGTGGGCGTTCTTCATGGCTTCGATGGCTACGGGCAGGACATGGCCCTCAGTACCGAGAGGACAGGGCTGTGTGACTGCTGGGCCCTCCCCACCACGCCATCCCCTCTGTGGGGCCAAGGTAGGCAGGAAGGCCCAACACTGGCCCACTGCTGATGCTGAGTCCGTCTGCAGTGGGTCTCTGGCCCTGTACAAACCTCTTGGGGTGGATGTGGAACTCCCAACCCACTCCCCCTACGAGGAATAAAGGTATACTATTTTTAGTGCTAGAAAGAACCCAAACTGACGAGATAAATGTCAGTGTTAAATTCAAGCATGAGCTTATAAAGTAAGCAGGCTTCTTGACACTAGAATAAGAGCCACCACGAAGTGATCAAGAACATAATGGAAAGAGCACCAGATGGTGGGACGTGCTTGCTCAGGGCTCCAGCACGGCGTGTCACCCCCATGCTCCAGCTGGGGCTGCGCCATGCCGACAGTGTCTGAGGGCTGATGAGGTGGCGAAAGACCCCTCTGGGAGCTGGCGCCCCAGCACTACCCAACCTGGTGCACTGGCTCTCAGGCTGGAGGTCTCCAAGGCTCCTCAAGCCAGCCCTTCCTCAGAAGTGCCCAACTACTCTCTTGAAAATGAAGCTTGAATCTCAGCCAAAAGGCAGTGCAAAGCCAGTCACTTTTCTGAGTTGTGGGACCAGCCCAGGGAGTGGGCCACCTGCCACCCTCGGGTCCAGCCCCACCTGAGATGGTGGCGGCAGTTTCCTCGGCCAGGAGGCGGTCCTTTTCCTCCCGCAGCTTCTCCAGCTCCCGCTGGTGCTGCCTCTGCAGGTCCTCAATCTTCTTTTGGTGCGTCTCTTCCATTGCAGCAAAGCCCCGCTCACACGTGGCCTGCAGAGGCGAAAGACATGTACTGAGTCTCTCTGGGGCTCTGAGCTGGGTGGGGACGCTGCATAAAGAGGCAGCAGCAACTCTGCCTATCCAGACCCTGGGCTAACCCGGGCTCACTGCACCTGTCCCGAAACTGGGCCGGGGTAAGGAGCAGGCTCCCGGGGCTGGGTGGAGGTTCGCTGCGCTGCATTAGGCACCTGAAGGGTGTTTTACCACGAACTACTTTCTGTGGCTGATCTGAACCGTAATTCTTCATAGGAAAAGCTGGTATTGTGAGTGTAAAGAGGGTGCAGTGGAACTTAGACCAGCCAGTCCTGGGTCTGTGTGGGGTCACCACTAGGAAGGAAGGGGACAGAGCATTTGTACTGGCAGTGTCTGGTTTAGAGTGATGTGAGATCCACTTGGTGCTGTCACAAACGGGATGACAGCTATGTCAGCTGCAGGGAGCTGAAGTCATTGCAAGATGTGGGATGACCTAGCAGGGAGGCCACTACCTATCCCCTATGGGCTGGGGGCAGACAGGGCCCATATCTGAGAGCATGGAGCCTGTTCTGCTACTAGCCAGCTGGCAACTTTACGCTGGCACTGACCTCTCAGGTGTCCACCAAGGGAGTAAGAACAGGCTACTGGATCTCTTTCGGACGCCCTACGTCATGACTTCCTGTCTTGGGTGAGAATACGCAGGAACACTAATCAACTAGGGCCTCCACTACCTTTAATAAGATGCCTAAGGAGTGTTACGGTTGATACATTGTGTCAACTTGAGGAGTCAAGAAGCTTAACTAAATAACTCAGCGTTCTACAACCTGGGGTGAAAAGGACACGCCCTTGCTCCTCCCATGTTGTTCATTGTGTCAACCTCAGAAGCTTAGAAGCTCACCTTTCAACTTTAAAGTGACTCAGCAGGGAGCCAGGGTCCTTACTTTGTGAACACCCTCCTCTTGTGGAAGAGGAGGGCACAGAGATGGTGTGGGTGTGGGCAGATGGCCAGCATACCATATAAGGAGGAAAAAGAGGCTTGCTCCCCCGACCCTTGTGCTTTTGCTGTCTTGTGCCGCCTGCAAGTATTGCCCCTGTGCCCTGCCACCCTGCCTTGGAGCCAGCTGATTATAGACGGAAACCTCCACACACTGAGCTAAATAAACCTTTCCTTCCTCAATTTTCGGTGTCAGGTACTTTGTCCCAGAAATGAGAGAAAAGTAACCAAGACAGAATCTGGTACAGAGGAGTGGGGTCGTTGCTGTGACTATATCTGACCATGTGGTTCAAGAGCCTTTGGAAATGGCTTGTGGGAAGTGTTTGGAAAGGTTTGGGGCTGTTGCCTCAAAGAGTAGAGCCGGACCGCCTTGGTCTGTTCTGTACAGGAGATTTTGGTTGGAGCTCAGAAGACCAGAAGGCTGATAGAAATCCTGCCAGTAAAGACCGGGCTTGGGAGGTTTCTGCTGGGAAGGACTGCATTAGGTGGTGGACTCCAGATGATGTGTGTTATGGCTTGGTAGAAAGTTTGTCTGTATTTTGCTCATGTCCAGAGACTTTGCCTGAGACTAAGATTAAGGGCAGCAGACTGATTAACCTGGCAGAAGAAATTTCAAGGCAGGTGAATGTTGAGGCAGTGGCATGCCTATTGTTGAAGGCTTTTTGCCAGATTTATGTTGAGAATCAAGAGCAAAGAGCCCAGCAGGATGATTTAAAATGTTGTGAGTTTGGCCAGAAAGGAAGCTCCACTAAAGCTGTACAGTATAAAGATAGAGCAGAAGAGATTTTGATTGCTAAAAGTCAAGAGAACAAGAGAATCGAAAAGATGGCCTGAGGGCATCAAAGCAGCAGCAAATCTCCACCCTTTGCAGCCTCAAAACTGGAAAGGTAAAAGACTCTGCTTTGAGAAGCAAGCCTCTGAGCGCCATGTTCCAGAATTGCGGCCCCATAGAGACTTTGTTCCTCAGAATCAGGTTCAGAGGGCTCAGATATTCAGGCACTTGATCCCTACAGCCAGGAGAGAGGAAAGCCTGGCTACTACTCCAGCTGACAATGGACCTTGGCATCATCCACGTGGTGCTGGTTTTAGGTGCATGCAGAATGCACAAGTTCTGAGGTTAAGAAGGCTTCCACCTCGACTTCAGAAGGCCTGGGAGGCCAGGCAGTGCGCCCCCGACAGGGTAGTGTGTCAAGCTGTGAGTGAGAAGCCAAACATGCAGTGGAGACCCCAAAAGTTTGGAAAAGCCAAGAACGTGATTCTTTAAGGAAAGCTGCAAGGAGGGAGCAAAGCGGGCCTTAAGAGAGAAGCGATGGGAGCTGTAACCACCACAAGTGCCATAGGGGAGGAGTCATGCAAGCCCTTTGGAGCTCACAATGTGCCACAGATCTCAGATGCTGGACTTGGAACTACAGGACTTAATGTTTGCCCTGCTGGATTTTGTACTTGCTTTGGTGCCAATCCTTTGTATTCCCCCGTTTGTACCTTTTGGAATGCTAATGTTTATCTTGTGCCATTGAATGTTGGAAGCGTTTAGCTTTTCATTTGTATGGGGGCTTACAACTAAGAGTTTGCCTTACATCTCACAGGAGACTTGGGACTTGGACTTTTCGGCAATGCTGAAACTGTTAGGCCGTTAGCAACTCTTGCAGGTGGACTAAAATGCCTTCTGCATAAAGGGATGTGCTTGAGTCTTTAGGGGGCGAAATGTTATGGTTCTAATATAATACAATGTTGACAGACTTAATACTGGTTCTTATAGATTGTTAAACCTGTATTATAATGTTTAAGTTGTGAAATGATAAGAATAATGTCTTTGTATCTGGAAAATGGTTTAAAGAAATATGTCTGGTTGCCAAATGGACAAAGGGTGGATTGTTATGGTTGATACACTGTGTCAACTTGAGTCTACAAGCTTAAGTAACTCAGCATTCTACATCCTGAGGTGAAAAGGACACGCCCTTGCAGCTCTGGGATGTTGTTCATTGTGTCAGCTTGAGAGGTTTAAAAATTCAGCTTTCAACTTTGAAGTGATTCAGCAGGGAGCCAGGGTCCTTACTTTGTGAACATCCTCAGCTTGTGGAAGAGGAGGGCACAGAGATGGTGTGGGCGTGGGCAGATGGCCAGCATACCATATAAAGAGGAAAAACAGGCTTGCTTTCCCCCTTTTTAGCTTTTGCTGTCTTGTGCCGCCTTGAAGTGTGGCCCCTGTGCCCTGCCACCCTGCCTTGCAGCCAGCTGATTATGGACTGAAACCTCCACAAACTATGAGCTAAATAAACCCTTCCTTAATTTGGGGTGTTGGGTATTTTGTCTCAGCAATGAGAGAAAAGTAACCAAGACAGAGGCTGCCTTACAACCAAGCAAGACACCTATGTGCCCCATGAAGAGAAATAACCCCACAGAGCTACAAGAAACCCAGGCCTCGCCTGTTGGAGCTTCTTTCACTACCACATAGGAGAGACTGCCTCACAGCTGCAGCTTCAAGTGGCTGGAACATGTAGCTACTTTGAGAATAGAAGCACATTTTCTGTCTGAAGCCCTGGAAAGATCCACTTCAGGGAAGGGATCAGGACTGATTTTTAAAAACTGGGAGAATATCCCAGTTATTATAGCCAAGTACAAGTACGCAGGGCTTCCCCCTGGCAGCTCTGATTCTATGCTGTCCAATCTTTCTGCCTGTGGATTTAAGAAATGATACCAAGAATCAAATAACCATGCTTTGTATCTTTCTCTGAGCCCTGCAACCCTCGAGGGGCCTTTCTGAACCTTGAGTCAGAATTTTCTTCCTTCTCGCTAAGGGCTGGACCTCACTGCAACTTACTTGCTGAATTGGCAAAGGCCTTAATTACTGCTCCTCACGAACAGGACACACTGTCCCAAGACACTGAGCCCTAGAAGATGCCTTTCTCCTGAGCCTTCTCCTTTCCCTGCCTTCATATTACAGCAGGGCCACGGACACCGCAGGTCCCAGCCCAGCTCTGCAGACAGCGCACGAGGGCTGGGACCTCAGGCCTACTTCGGAGCACATTCTCCCTGCTTGGTCTGGGCATGGCTTCTCAGTCCACCACACAACTACGGGCTTTGCACCCCATATCTAAAATGCCTGGATCAGGTTTCTAAGTTTGGATTTTTTTTTTTTAGATTTTGACATATTTGCATAACAGATTTGCACATATAAGATACATATACTTATGTATTTTGGGGATGGGATGCAAGTCTAAACATGAAATTGTTTATGAATGTTTCGTATGTGCCTTATACACACAGCCTGAACTGATACAGTAATTCAGAGCTCTTGCATTCTCTGACCCTGTCACATGAAGACAGGTGTGCAATTTCCCATTTGCAGCATCATGTTGGCACTCAAGAATTTTCAGTTTCAGATTTTGGAACATCTTAGGCTTTTAGATTTCCAGATCAAGGATGTTCACCCAACCCCTGCTCCCCCTTTTTCTGATACTGGGGACAGAACCCAGGACCTTGCATACGGTAGGCATGTGCTGTGTCACTGAGTAACATCCCCAGCCCTCTTACAAATCTTCTGATTCGAGTGCTTGGGAATATATGAAGGTAAGGGTCAAAATTCTAATAGAAACAGTGGAGTATCTTTAAAGACCCAAATGTATTTACATGTATAAATAATATGAAACAAGTCATCCTTGGGATCAAAAAATTCCTCAATGGATTTGATGCAGAGTGATGGCTAGTTGTAAGACACTGACCTGTGGTAATGACTGTGATACAGAATTGTGGTGGGCAGTAGGGGCTCTGGCTTGTAGGTGTCAAAGCAGGGCTGTCAGGCCAGCACCTCTAGCATCCCGACCCAGACAGAAGTCTGCATAAAGCAACTGACACCAGCTAGGCTCTTCAGAGGTTGTGTGGTTATAAACCTTGCATGCATCCAAAAATGACACATAGGTACTGAAGCTCTCAAGCCTGTGATAGCAGCATACAGTGGGGCTTGAGGCAACACCGAGTGCATGATGTCCGAGCTCCTGACGTCCCCTCTAAACTGTATCACCTGCATCTGAGCATCCTGGGGTCTGGCACAATCATTTTGATGTCTTGTGATCTGCTTGTATGTCACAAAGACTGATCCATGCATAGCGGGCTGACTCACTCAGGGCTGGAACATGGAGGAAGCTCTTATAGATGCAACGAGAAAGCAGCTATATGTAACTGTGGCCTGGGGTTTGCGCACAGGCACCTGCAGCAAAGGGCACTAGGAATTAAGGGGGTGTGGAGTCAAAGCCAAGGTCTGTGCCAGTTACCTCTAACTGTGCACCTAGAGTCATCAGAAAGTGTGCTCAGTGAACTGACCAGAAGGTCATCAAAGATGCACTTTGGGAAAACAGCCACTGGAACTTTCTCACAATTCATAAAAGGTTTGGACTGAGTGGGGAAAAAAATGGTGAGGAATGGCCTCTTAGCTGACTGAGAAGGTGCTCAGTGGCAATACCCGTTTGTCTCTGGTGCGGCTGTCATTACAGGAGCAAAGCAGTAGCTATGCAGCGAGTGTATCTTCTTTTTTCTCACAGCCCTAGAGGGGTAAGGTGCAGGGAAACAGCCACAGGCATCCTGCTAAGCGGTAGTGCGCTGGTGTGTGACGGGACAGCGGGTGCAGCTGAACCTAACATGCACCACGTACCCTACCAGAAGAGGAAGAAAATGAGGGGAACAGCCAGTGGGGTGAGCTTCTGAGCCTAAGGGATGACAAGCACCTCCAAGATGACCCAGCCACATGCGTGATGCAGTGTGAAGCCATGGGGGCGTGGAGGGGTGGCCAAAGTCTGGACTGCTCCTCTCGTCCCATCCTGAAGGGGCTGGGAGGCCACCTCTGTGGGCCGCAGCCTACGAGGCAGAATGTGGAATGGGTGAAAGCAGGAAAACAGTTCCTGGGGAAAGGCCACCTTTCACAGATCCCAGGGAAGGGAACAGGTGCAGCTGAAACCGTCTCTGGAGAAAAGCCCTTCTCAGACCAGTGCCTACCCCAGCTGGGTCCTCATATAGGGAGCTGGGAAAGGACAGGGCCCTTTAACACAAAATTCAACTCTGCTTTTACCGGTTGGTCAGGAGAAGGGGACTGCTTTCCAAGAGTATGAGATGGTCCTGGGCAAATGCCTCAGGTTGGGGGCAAGGAGGGGAAAAGGCGGGTCAGGGGCTGCTCTAGGGACACACAGAGAAGGGGAAGAAGGTACTCCCCTCTCCCACAGGGATGCCGCCTTCCTTCTGCTGGGCCTCCTTTGGGGTGGGTGACACTGGGACCACACCACAGCCAGCAAGCAGAGGGACAGCAGAATGTCACCTTGATTATGCCTGTGTGGTAGCTAAGAGCCAAGAGCCCGGTCCCAGGTACTCAGAACCTCAGATGCCACCACAGCCCCCTCCCCCATCAGGAGAATCGCCTTTACGAAGCAACGGTGCTGAGGACCTTGAGGTTCTCAAAGTCCCGCTGGTACTTCTCCCGCAGTGTGGCCGAGTCGCCCTCCAGCTCCTTGTGGCCTAGCTCCTCCCGCATGATGTCCATCTGGGCCTCCAGCTCCTGGATGCGCTCCCGGAGCCCTGTCATGGAGTCGGCCTCCCCAGCAGCAGCCGGTGGGGCAGCCTGATGTGGTGCCGCCCTGGGCTGAGACTCCCAGTGCAGGCAGGGGGTGGGCGGAGCCTCCGGGTGCTGCTGCTGGCACAGGCGGAGGGTCTCCTGCAGGTGCCGAAGGCTCTGTGCGTAGTGCTCCTGCAGGGCCCTCAGCTCCTCCTCGTGGATGACCTGCAGCTCTTTGATCTTAAGCTGGAACCTGTCCTCCAGAGTCTGCATCTGCTGCACGTGCTGCCGCTCCATGTCCTGCTTGTCTCTGACGGAGGCGTCCAGCTGGCTCAGCACTCGGCTGCGCTCGGCCTGCAGGGTGTTCTCAGTGCGGTTCAGCTGCTCCACCACACATCTGATCTCCTCCTCGTACCGGCCCTGCAAGGCAAACATGCTCTCGCTGTGCTTGCTCTCCACTTCCTCCAGACGCCTCTGCTGGTGGTCCCACTGGCTCATCTTGGCCTTGAGCTCAGCATTTTCCCTCTCGATGAGGGCGATCACCTCCAGGTACTCGCTCTTCTGCTTGCGGAGCAGCTCTTCGTATTCTTCCCGCAGCACTCCAATTGCTCTCGCCTGCTCCTGGCAGGAGGTCCCCTTGGCCTGCCAAGACTCCTTATAAAACTGGAGCTCCTTTTCATACTCCAGCCGAATTCTACAGGCTGCATAGCACACCTGAGCCTGAGTAATTGCATCCTGAACCAATAATGAAGAGTACTGACCGAGGCCTCCCAAGCAAGCGTTGTACGAGAGACTCTGGGAGGTCTGCAGAAGCTTTCGGCAGTCCCTCAATGACTCCGCAGGTGGCAGAGCTGGCAGGGCAGCGGAGATCTCCTCCAGGATGCTGGCCTTCTCTCTCAGCTGCTGGGCAAGCTCTTCTTGAATAGCAATAAGGGCCCTGGGGCTCTGCTGAGACACATGCAAGGGCTCCTGGGAGTCCTCCGCTGTGCCAGGGCTCAGCACTTTTCCAGGTGGACTCAGGCCTGAGGACATGTGCACACCATCCTCCCTATCTGCTGGACCCCGCAGGGCTTCCGAAACCTGCTGTATCACTCTCTCAAAGTCTGGGGTTTGGTAGGCCCCCAGGATTTCCTCCAGGGCGCACTTGTGCTGCTGCAGGGCTGCCTGAGTTCCCTGCAGGGTCTCTTGCACAGTCTGCAGCCTACGGTGCAGCGACTCCCTCACTGACTGTGTAGCAAAGCTGAGCTCCGCCCGGACCCATGTGGCGTCCGTTAGGCCTTGGGGGATGTGCTGCTGTCCGCCTCCTGGTGTGCTGGCTGCCTCTCCTCCCAGGGTCTCCAGGTGCTTGCTTAGGGACTCGACTTGGCTCCAGAACTCACTGTCCACCAGCACCTTCCTGGCCCAGGCCTCTGCGGAAGCCCTGGAAGAGACAGTGGCACCTTCTCCCTCCAGCAGCCATTCTCCTGACTGAGCAATCTCCTGGAGAACACGAGACACATCTGAGGTGGTGTTCTTAAGAGAGCTTGCTATTTGGTTGATCAGGGAGGCCTCCAGGGCTATCTGATCAGAAAGCAGCTTCACTTGCTCCTCCTCACTCAGCACGGGCTGGCAGGGCTGCTGTGCTGGGGCTGCCACCCTGCTCTCCAGGCAGTGCTCCTCTCCCTGTCCTGCCTGGGCTGTGCTGTCTGCAGGCGCTGGCCAGGACTGCAGGGCCTGGATCGCGCTCAGGAGTGCGCTCTCCACACTGGCCAGGGAGGCTGCCTGTGCGTCCTGCTTGTCCTCCTGGCTGGCCCACGGCAGAGACCTTAGCTGTTCTCGGCAGTTTTCTAGGCATACCAGGGCCTGGCTGTTTTTTGCCTGAAAGCCCCCTAACTCCCCGACATGGGTCCCAATGCCTGTGGCCCTCTCCTGTCTCTCCTGCTCCAACTGGGAGGCCAGTGCGCCAGCCTGCAGCAGGCTGGCACGGAGCTGCTCTCGCAGCTGTGCCTCGGTGCCAGCCCACTGGTGGTGCAACGCGAGCAAAGCCTCTCGGCTCTGGCCCTGCTGGCTCTCTAACCTCAGGGTCACATCCTTGAGCTTCTCCTCTGTGACGTAGAGCTTGGTCTCCAAGGAATGGATGATGGAGAGGTACGTGTCTGAGTCTCCAGCTGTGGGCAGCGTGCTGGGGGACATGCTCTCCTCTGAGGGCGACCGGTCCTGGCTGGTGTCTGAGGATGTGCTGCTGGTCCAGGTCTTCTCAGACCCCTCGGGGTGGATGTATCTTTGGCACTGGATTGTAGAAAATCGGATTCTTTGCCTTTTAATACCAGGTGCTCCCTGCTCAGACTTGGCTGTGCTCTGCAGATGTCCCTCCCTGTCTGTCACGTCCATGGTCTTTGGGGGCACTGTGCCTTCTTCTCTGCTGGGACCGCTAACACCACACTCTTCCCCTGCACTAATTCCCACATCCTCATCCCCCGGCTGTGTCTGTGGTAAGTCTGGAGTTGCCCCAGTAGCTGGCAGCTGCTGGCTCAAGAGTGAAACACCCTGCTCCTCGGTTTCCTCCAGGGTACTCTGTGATTCTTCCATATCCTTTGCAGACTCATTTGCAAATTTCCGTAAAATCTCTTCCTTTGCCTGCAGCTTAATTTCTGTCTCCTCTAAGCTGCTACCCAAAGCAACCATTTTAACCAAAGCCTCATTGAGGTCTTGATCTTTCTTTTCCAGAACTCTCTCATGGACTTCCTTGATGTGCTTCAGCTCTTCTTCCTTCTCTCTCAGAAGAGTGCGCATGCTCTGCAGTTGGTCAGAGACCCTGTGGTGTGAGTGCTCCAGGCTCTGGTAGTCAGCCTCTCTTCCCCGCAGCTTCTCCTGAAGCTCAGCCACGTCCCCGTCAGAAGCAGCCACACGCTCCATCAGTTCTTGGAACCGCTGTCTGATGAGGTCTCGCTCATCGTGGAGGCTCTGCACGTGCTCAGCAAGCTGGCGGATACTGGCCTCCCGGGCCTCCAGCTGCTCCTCCAGCTGGTGCACCTGCTCACTGCCCTCGCACTTGGCACTCAGCTTCTCCTTCTGGAGGGCCTCCACTTGCTGCGCATGGCCCTGTAGCTGGTCCTCATAGGCAATGGCCTTGTCCTCCACCTCCTTCAGGTTTTGCAGCAGCGCCTGCTTCTCCTGCTCACAGCTCTCCAGCAGCAGTGCATAGTTCCTCTGCAGTTTCTCCTCCATCAGCCGCTGGGCCTGTTCACTGGCGCCCAGCTGCTGGCTGAGGTCAGCAATACGCTCCTGGAGCCTCTGCACCTCCTTCTGACGGTCTCGCTGCAGTGCCTGCTGGGTCTCCAGGTCCCGAAGCTCCTGTGTCTTCTCCAGCAGGAGGGCCTCAGCACTCTTAAGCTTCTGCTCGCTGGCCCTCAGCTGACCACTGAGTGCTGCCTCGCTGTGCTGCCGCTCCTCCAACTGCTCACGAACCCTGTCCTGCTCCAGCTTCAGGTCGCCCTTGAGCTTGGCCAGCGCCTGCTCCTTGATGGCCAGCTCGGCAGCGGCATTGCTGAGCCTTGCCTGAAGGCTCCGGATCTCGGCCTCGTGGTGCCGGATTGCATCCTTGGCCTCCCCATAGCTACGTTTCAGGGTCTGAATCTGCTGTGTGATCAGCTCCTGTCGCTGGCACTGGGCTTCCAGCTCACTTTGGAGGTCTTGGTTGACTTTATGGAGCCTCTGCCAGGCACCCGACGGGGAGGAGGCCACTTCAGTCTTAAAAAAATTGATTAAATACTGGTTAGTAACACTCGGGCCTCCCCGTTCTGAGTGTCACACCTCTGGCCAGGATCGACCATAGAAAAGCTCCGTGGTGACTTTGGCTTTTATCCTTTGTACAATTATTTTTCCCATTTAAAAAAATCCAATGAATTATCCTAATCGGTTTTTTTGTGTTTTGGTAAGTGGCTGCTTGTAGGTAAACAGAAAACATGGACAACAACATCAAAAAACAGTTCTAGTTGAACAGTTTCTAAGAGAAATAAACCAAACAAAACTGAATAATGGAATACACAGAGAAGCAAAACGGAGACTGAAGGACAAGAGGACGCTGGGAAGCGGGACAGGGGAGCACAGCAACTGCATCTGTTTGTTTTGCAAAACAAAAAGTAAATGGTTCTAGACCACAGAGCCTAAATAAGAGCAGGACGCAAGGTGCAGGTAAGTAATGCCACTTCCTTCCAAGAGAGGGAGAGCAAGAAGGAAGGTAACTGATCAGGAGATGTCAGCGAGGGAAGATCTACATTTTCCTTGGGAAAGTGTAGGCAGGCCTCCACAGTAACAGGAAGAACTAATCTCTACCTGTAAGAAGACAAAATGAGGGGGAACGCAAACCATGGAGTGAAATATGATAACCAACACAAACCTTTGTGGAGTAAGGCATGCAAAAAATGAAACACAAATGAAAGAAAACTCCCCAAACTGAAAGGCATGCAGAATGGAGGTAATGCAACGCAGAGGAAACAGCATAAATAAACACAAACAAGGAGAGCCCGTGTAGACTCTGGATGCCCAGCTCCCTCTCCGTCTCCTGGTGGGGAAGCCACAGATGTGACACTCAGTTAAAGTTCCAGTTAAATCCAAGCTCAACGTCCAAACCATGCAAGCTCCTCCCAGCAGTTAGTGCAGTGTGCCTGTGGTCAACTGTGTGACCCTCAGCCCCCGGGCCCTGCCCTTTCTGACTTCTAGAGCTCAGGAAGTTATGAAGAACAGCCTGGTTGGTCTGACCAACAGGCCTTTGGTGCAGGCTGCATCGATGGTCCACATTAGACACAGAGGCAGGCTCCCAAGTTAGCAATGTGCAAAGCCATAGGCAGCGTCTTTACTGCCTGACAGAAGGTCAGTTCTTGTAGGATCGGGTCCAACCAACACTTAAAAAAAAGATGCTTCTCAACCAGAAGGGCCTGCACAGATGATCTAAAGGATCCTAGAGTGAGATGTAAAGGAAGTGAGTACCCTTCAAGGACAGTTCCCAGGCCCAAGGGTCTGAACTGAGCACAACAATGTGTTTGCTGGAAGGGGCTGGGGAAAAAGATGCAGGCACACAGGGGAAAGAGAGAAGGCCAAGGGCATGTGCAGAGCAGGAGCAGTGGGGAAAAAGGCGGGCAGACAGGTTTTAGTCAGAGGGCAGCTGAGCACCCCCAGGCCACCTGCTGTCCAGGACAGCTTGGTGCACAATGGTCTAAAAATGCTGAGAATCAACTAACCACAGAGACTGCGTATCTGAGCGCCAAAGGGCTCTTGGGGACCAACAGGTCTAAGTGTACACAGGCAGAGGGTTGTCAATGCAGGGTTAAGGTACATCTGCTTCTGGGGTCAGTGGCAGGGTCAGGACTTAAACCCAGGACTATTATGCCAATGTCCCGTTTTCAGCTTTGGCAGAGCTAAGGTTGCAGATTCTGGCACCCTGTTCCACGTTCCCTTGGCACTTCATGGTCAATCCTACCAGCATGGTAAGTAACACCACTGGGGCAGGAACGTGCCTGTGTTGTGTCTTGGAGCTAGCACGGAACCTGGAACGCTGCAGGCCAGTGACACATACTGCTTGCCTTCCCTCATTTATGGCCACCTCCTGCCTTGTGATATACCCACATCAGGGCTGTTACACGCTGGAGATCGGGCTGTGGCCAGGACTCTGGTGGATGCTTCCAGCAGAGGGGCTCTAGGCTGGGGCTGTCAGCTCAGGACCCAGGCTGCATCCTACTCATCTCTCTTCCAAGACGGGCTGGCTATGGGCTGGACAGCCACACCCTTCTGAACCATCTGCCTAGGCAGAGAGTAAGAAGTGGAGGCCCCTAGGCCAGTGGTGACAGGTAGACCCACCTGCAGGTGTGGGTGAAACATGGGGTTGGGCAGGATCTAGTTCTAGCCACTAACCTGCTGCTACGTGCAAGCATCTGGGTCACTGTGTGATTCAATTCCTCCAGTTTATACAACAGGCCTAATCCTGCTATTATAAATACAATGAAAAATAACACACAGATGGATGATGTCCCCAAGAAATGTAACTGGCTATGCTGAGAGCCTACAGGAGAGATCACAATGACTTCATTACAAAAAATACCCCCAAAATCCTTGTATGTAGGGGTTTCAGGCACTTTCTTCAAAACATCAGAGCAGAAGAAAAAATAGACACGGAACTTCCAGCACCCTAAGTGCCCGTGTCCTTGGGCAGAGGAACTGAGGCCAAGCTCTGCCAGGTTTGCACATTCCTAGCCTGTGGGCCATGCCTGCACCCTTCCCACTGAAGCCCCAGGTGCACATGTGCCTTGGCAGCTGTCCCATCCTACCTGGAGCACGTAGCCCTCCCGGGCACTCTGCTCACGGCCCAGTGCCACCCTCAGCTGGTCCTGCAAGAGCCGGTTCTGCTCCAGAAGGTCTGAGGCCTCCTTTTGGCTCTGTTCCAGCTGTTGGTAAAATGACAAGTTCTTAAGCAACGACAACAGTGAAGCAGCTGCATAATACCGGCACTTCTTCTTTTTGGGGGGTACCAGGAATCGAACTCAGGGCCTTACGCTTGCTAAGCAGATGCTTGTGTCACTGAGCTACATCCCCAGTCCATAGGCACTTCTGACTGCAGCACACGTGACGGCTTTTCTGGCCCAGCACTTTTGGGTTTCCACATTTCAGCTGTGCAGAGGGGGTCTGTACCTGCAGCATAGGAACTGAAGCTTCCAGCTCGAACTGTAAATGACACTGGTACACTTGCCTGTCTCTAGGGGCTGAGGGACGGTGTGATCTTTCCCCTTACGGTAGTTGTGGGCACCTACACAACTTCTGCACCTGCTCATGGTTCCACTGGGAGGGTCCTGCATGGGGCAAAGCCCGTGAGGGAAGTTTACTAGTGAGAGGTAGGGCTTCGCAACTTTGCAGAAGATGATCAGCTTCCGGGGGTTCTCTACATGGTCACCTTAATCTCTATAGGGGCTACTGTGGGCAGTGGCGGGGGGTTCCCCAAGCAGGCCTCAATCTGGGCCCTGCTGTGGCTTCAACTGAAACTATCTGACCAGGTATGCATGGTGGATCTGGATCCCACACAGAGCTGTCTGCAAAAAGGGTGGCCATTGTCTCCTCAAACAGGATGTGGGAATCTGTGCGCTACTTCACGCTCATCTAGCTTTCAACAGCTTTAAGATTCACTCCCTCGCCCACCTGCCTCTTTCCACATGGATTTCCCTAGGTCCTGCCTGACGCTCAGCTGCATGTCGGGCTGCCCTCCCACTCCCCAGGGGCTGGTGGTCAGGGCGCTGCCAGGGTGGGCTGCGAGAGGCAGGGAGACCCATGGCTATGGGACACTGAAGACTGCTCCCAGAGATGGCTGCCCAGAACACAAACTGGCGGTCTCAAGAGCGGCCGCTGGGCCCGCGCCGACAGCGCAGAGTCACGTAGATCCGAGCTGTTTTGTTCCACCGTCCTTACTACCTTATTGACAGCACTGGAGAAGTCAACACGCTGGCCCCAGCGACAACTGTCAGGCTCATGAGCTGACAGGGTGCATTCAAAGTTTTCTGCTGAAGGGCATCCGTGAGGGGAAGATGTGACAGGGTATTTCACAAAAAGCAGGGCACTGCACAGGCTAAGTACCCCTTTATCCAAATGCTCGAGGCCAGAGTGTTTCAGATTTCAGACTTCTGGCAAGTTTGGGTTACCTGCATAGACACAGCACACAAACACACAATGTGTGTCTGTGTGTGCATGCACGCATGTGTATGTGTACATGCATGTTTTGCAGTACAAGGGGTAGAACCCAGGGCCTTGTGCATGCTGTGCATACATTCTACCACAGAACTGTACCTCCAACCTCCTATATGGTACTTTTAATAATTTTGCTCGTTAAATGAAATTTCTGGTGTGGAGTTTTACACTTGTAATGTCAAGCTGGCACTTAGGAACTGATGCTGGGACACAGTGTCATGAGAACCCCACAGGCTGTGAATGCAGGGGCTCACCACCCAACTCTTCTCCAGGCTCCACCTGCCTGGTAGCAGCTCACCACAGGTGTTTCACCTCCTAAGCATGTGGGGCCTAGCCTTTGTCTCCCGATGCTGCGCCTTACCCCATCAGATTTAAGCAATAGAGAGGCCACTGTTACAGCACCAGAGTTCACCTCTGTCACTAGCTTTGGCCTGTGTCCCCCAGAGCTGCCTCGTGCAGATAGAAACCTAACTCTACTCACATCCCTCCACTTAAAATCTAGCTCATGCCCTAGCAGGTAGAATAAGGCCCACTATAAAACTCACTAGCCTAATGCCTGGCCACAGGTCTCCATGAACTACGAACTGTTCCTCCATTCCAGAAAGGCTCATTAACCCCACTCTGTCATGACCTGGCACTCCGTTCTACCTCAGCATCCACCCTGACTGTAAAGACCTGTCCATGTTCCAGAGGGGAGGACTGTGTGGCTGAGCCTGCAGGCCATAGCTAGCATAGCTGGTGCTCAGGACTGGCTGATGCACAGGAAGCTGCCCTGGCATTACCTCCTTTTCCAGCAGAGAGGTCAGTTCATGCGTAGAGAGCCGGTCACTTCTATCCTCAGAGGACAGGTGCAAGGGGGCGATGGGCACCTGCTTTTCCTCTCGGAGAGGGGTGGTCTCCACCTGATGCCACCGCTGCTCAATCTCCACATGGACATTTTGTGTCTTAAGGTCAGCAGTGGGCAGTCCTGGGCTCCGGTCCACCTCCATGCGCAGGGCTGCGTCCTCAACACTGGGTCCATCCACAGCATCTAGCATCCCAAAGCGCTTGCGGCGTTCTTCCCGCCTCCGCGCACGCTCCCGCTCTAGCTCACCTGGCTCCAACTCAGGCTGCCCAGGCTCACGGGCTTCAAGGGGCCCCATGGTGCTGGCTCTCTCCTGAGCCCGGGCCTGCTGCATAGGGCGGAACTCAGCCCAGTCAAAGGTCTTAGAGCGGCCCTCTCGCCTTCGCTCCCGAGCGCGGCTTCTCTTCTGCTCTGGATCTGGCTCCCCTGGCTCTGGCTCTTGCTTTTCATTTGGCCTTGGGCAGGTTTCAAAAGCTGAGCTGTTCTTGTTCTTTTCCTCAGGCAATGAACTATGGGACAAACACAGGGCCAGCAAAGGTAAGCTGTGAGCCAGCCCATGCCTGATCCACACCTTTCTAACCCTGTGTGGCTTCCTGAGTGCTGGGGAAGGAATGCATCTGTAAAGCAGCTGTCCACTTCCTGGAGGACTCAAAGCTGGCTTGGGGCTGAGGATAGGGTTGAGAAGGCTCACTGCTCCCCAAGGTTTCCAGCACACAGTCCTTAACTGAGCGTATGCCGTGGGACGTGTCCTGTAGTCCCATCACCAGGAGGATGGAGCCAGGCAAGAGGGGCCCCCGCTACTGTGTGAACACTCGGAAGGAAACCCTGTACTGGGTGGTGGCAGAAAGAACATTTTCCTAGAAGGGCTCGGAAGTTTCCATGAACAGGTGACACACTCTGCTGTTTTCATTTTTATTTTTTGTCTTTTTGAGACAGGGCTCCACTACGCAGTTCAGGCTGGCCTTGAGCCCAGTCTGTAGCCCAGGCTCATCTCAAACTCAAAACTATCTTCCTGCCTCAGCCTTCCAAGTGCTGGTGTTACAGGCAGCTGTTTTCATTTTTTTTTTTGGTATTTTTCTGGTACCAGGAATCAAACTCATGACCTCGCACTTGCCAGGCAGGCGCTGTGCCACTAAGCTAAATCCCCAGCCCGTTTTCATTTTTAATTAATTAATTAATTAATTAAGAGACAGGGTTTTGCTATGTAGTTCAGGCTGGGCTTGAATGCACCATGTAAGCCCAGGCTGGCCTTGTACTTGTAGTACTTCTGCTCTGGCCTCCGAATGCTCGGATCACAGTGCACCACCACACTCGGCCTCAGCTGCTTTAAACGCCCACTCTGGCTGCGGACACGACAGGCAGGTCAGCGTGGAGAGCTGAGAGTACCTGTCGGGGGAGGGACGGAGGCCCAAGGGTCCTGGGAGAAAGAGCAGCGCTGGAACCTGCCACACTGAGCAGGGAGGTGCCAGCAACACAGGCTGTGCAGGTCGTGCTTAGGGTACCCTGGCCTGCCCGGCAGCGGCAGGGATGAAGCTGGTTAGCCTGAGGAGTCCCTGTCTTCCCTAATGTGCCCCAAAGGTTAGGTTCCTGGGGAGACCCCTCACGTGCAGGGAGGAAGGCAGAGCACAGAGGTGGGAATGGGCTCTCACAGAGACTCTGAGGCACAGCAGAGGAGACCCGGTGACTGCAGGCCGCCCCTGGGCCCCAGTCTCAGCCAAGCCTCAGAAGAAGTGCTCTGGGGCAGCAAGGGCCAAAGAGGGATTGCCAGGGAGCACCGGGGCCTGTACTATGGGCAAAGAGAAAGGAGCTGCAGAAAGAGGCACCCAACAGAAAGAAGAGGTGGCCCCCACCACCCCCAGGGGAATCACCCGTCCTAGCAATGAAGAGCAAGAACCCAAATTTTTTAGAATAGCAAAACTGGCAAGAGCTCAGTCTAAGACCACTCAGACACGTGAATAAAAACAACCCTGAGCGGATCTTTTAGCATCATTAGGACAGCTAGCTGGCTTTGGTGCAGCACGTGGGGTGTCGGAATGACACACAAGAGCAGGTAAGGTGATGGGAATGCTTCCAGGAGAGGAAGCTCCTCCAGCCCCAAGGGCCAGCGGTGCTCTGGGTCTTTGCTACAATAGTCTGCAAGATAAAAATTGAGAAACAAAACAAGACCAGCAGCTGTGACACCACCATCTCTGCTTATATTGACTGCTTGGGACCTGGCTTTGTAGCACCAAAACAATCCCAATTTTCCTTTATTCTTAGGAGCTGATATAAGAACGCATGTTAAAAACAAATGGGGGGGCAAGGATATAGCTCAGCGGCACAGAGCCTGCCCGGCAAACCATGGTCCTGAGTTCGGTTCCCAGTACCAAAAACCCCCCAAAAAACAAAAAAACAAAAGAGGTTCAGGCACTCTACCAGCATTAAGATATACTAGTCTGTGAAGGAAACTAGTCGAGGAGACAATGGCCGGGCCCAGCGTGGCATGAAAACACAGCACCTGGCCTCTGTGCTTGTCCCCTGAGCCCCCTACACAGAAAGCAGCGAAGCTGAGTAAGTGGCAGGTCACCCCTCCTGAGCCACATGCAAGGACGAGACGTGAACCATGCACTCCTACTGACTGACATCTCTACACAGGACCCTTGATCTGAGCACGCAGTCAGGCCAGGTAGGGATGCAATGGGCAGGAGAGGGCCTCAGGCCAGCCATCCCCGCACACCCACTGCCTGCTAGCGAGTAGCACTGTGACTCTGTCTGCTCTACAGCATGGGTGGGGCAGCTGAGTGCCTTTCTCACTTTGCTATAGGGCCTCCCAGGGGAGGAACAGAGAGCCTGGCCTCCTTAAGCTATGGGCTCTGTCACTGGGAGTCACAGAGGCAGAGGGCCTCTCATCCTGGCCACAACCTTCCTTGTTGAGACAGAGGAACAAGTAGATACTGTGTGCTACCCAGTGAAGGAGTGAACACATGATAAGAAAGGAGGCTGAAGAAAAGAGCTCAACTCTCCTTTGCTTCTTATTCAGAGGGGTGAAGTGTTAGTACTCTGGAAGAAGGGGTAGGTTTCGGTGAGGAACAGACATGGCCAAGGCTGCCCCAGGCCAGCATGTGTTGCCCCCTCACAGCCTCCAAGCCACATAACCTGAGGCCAGAACAGGAACTGCCCGAGCTGAGAAAGGCACCAGAGGAGCTGGGAACACACAGAGGCTGGGGCCTGGAGGTGGGCACAGTGGAGCTCGGCCGTCACGGAGGCAGCCCTACACGGCACAGCCTTCTCCAAGTTCTCTGAAAATGAAAGCTGTCAGGTTTCCAGCCTTCTGGGTAGGAGGAAGACATGCAGCAGGTCCCAAGGGATACGAACCACAGAATGCTAACACAGGAGAGAACACACTTTTCCAACTTGGGCTTCAGCACTGCGAGTCTCAGAGAGAAGCTTTTCCTGGTTGCACAGAAATCAAACAGATGCAGGAGTGAGGCAAAAAGAAACCAAGGGAGAGCAAAGCTATGGTGGTCCAAGGTTACAGCACCCACATCTGCCCTTACCCAGCCACAGCACAGCTGTCCTAAGGGACAGTTGCAGAGTCCAAGACCAGGCCTTGGTGGACAAGCACCTCTGACAGAGATGAAAGGCTCTCTGCCAAGCTCAGCGCTTGGCACGGAGGCACGGAGGTGACCTGCAGGACTGAGCCGGCGGCACGGTGGAGGAAGGCCGGCCTGAGGCAGGATAACCACAAAGCACCAGGTGACAGCATGGGGAACCGGCCCCTGGGAGCACAGCGGATAAGGAAGCAGCTGTGCTGGGATGCGGCTAAGCTCAGCCTCAGGTCCCAACCAGAGCTCCCCTGTGGGAATGGGAGTGTCCCACTGGAGGCAGGAAGGGACCCCTCAGGCATCCCTGACTCTCTCACCTGGTCACATCTGGGGTGGTGGTTGGGTGCACATGCTTCATGATGGTCTGGATCCAGTTCCGTCGGATTCCGGACGTCATGGCTGAGAGGGTGAACTCACCCTCCTTTGTCTACACGGAAGACACAGAGGTGTTGTAAGTAACCAGATCTAGGGGTGCTTGTTGCTGCTCATCTCCAGTGGAGAGCCTTGCACTGTGCACGAAGTGCCGCAGAGAGAAAGGCTGAGGCTGGGGTGTCTGCCGAGAACTGTATGCTGTATTCAGGACACCTGAAGCTGGACACACTCGCAAGGGGATGGCAAAGCGGCATCTCCTTCCACAAGGCCAGCACATGCTTACTGCGTTCCTATAATGCGCCAGATGAGATAGCACATGTATCTCTTTGGGGCATGCCCAGTCCCAGTGGAAGGACAGAGTCCTCCTTGAACTGGGGGAGATGTCTGGGGAGATGGAGCGGTGTGTACCCAGGCCCGTGTCCTGTAGCCACATACGCTGGCACACCACAAGGTCGAAGTGCAGAGATGCCTGCAGGATGGCCACTGCAAACCTGAGGTGGCGGCAGACAGGGCAGAAGGAGGGGTGTGTGGGATGTGGCCAGCAGGGTGGGGCAGGAAGCCCGTTTGCAATGGGAAAACTCTCCCAGTGTCGCCCAGTGGCCCTGCCTGGGAGCCCGTAGGCAGGTGAGGGGCAGGACACAGGGCCACTGGCTGCCACTGCTTCTGTGCCCAGAGAAGGTGCACTTCGGCACTGCGCTGTAAGGCACCAGGCTGCTCACGTGCACCCACATGCAAGGCAGTGGGTGGGAGATGAAATTCTGGAGACAGTCTCGGGACGGGCACTAGGTGACAAGGGGCACCGCACTTGCGTCCATGTGTTGGCTGAACCTGCCGTGAGTACAGCTCAGATCTAACCTCCTCTTCCACAGGGGCACTGCCAACATTCCTCCCTGGCCAGCTCTTTCTGCCCTTCGGTATACTTTCAGAGCCTGGTCTCAGCACTCCACCTCATCTGTCCAGATGAGCTCTTTCCCGCTCAGGGTCACACCTACCCCTCATGGGTCCCCAAATTCAGCACTAGTCAGAGTTCCAGAGGACCCAGCTCCCTGGAGACTCGGCCCCAGCGACCCCTTCTCCCCTGCCAGTCCTCGCAGCATCACGCACCCTCTCCTCCTTTCTCTGCCCACCACCACCAAGCTGCCTGCCTGGTCTCCCTGCCAGTGCCCCGACGTCCAGTCCGACGTGTTTCACCAACGCCTGTGTCTCCAGTGCTTGCCCAGCCTGGTTTGGTGCTCACTGTTCTCACGGTGCTGTCCCATCTGCCTCCACTAGATCTCCTCTTCTGCTCCACCAGACCCAGGAATGGGGTGGGCACTGACAGGTGAAAAGGCTACAACTACCACGGGCCCGCACTACCACCAGGAGGGCAACTGAGATCTCCTATAGAAGATCTAGGCAGGATACCCTGCCTAGAGACACCTGAAGATACAGAGGGGGCCTTCAGGCTCACTGAGCACTCTACCCCTTCCACAAGGGGAATGGGACAGCACAGGCTGCTAAGAACAACCAACTCATGCTGGCCCTGGAGCAAGGCCAGTGGGGAACCCCTGATCGTGACATGTCCCAAGTGCTGAGATACAGATGTATGCCACAATGCCTGGCCGGAAGGATTTTGGAGCAGCTGGTGTCAGAAGTGAAAGCAAATGTGTGAGTAAGGAGGCTGTGCCCCTAACCCTGGGCCTGACCCTAGGCAGCTCTGATCACACAACTTTGATGTAGTGGCTAACAAGAACAATCTGATCTATCCAACAGGATTACTTTTATGAGGGCAGAACCATGCCTTGCTCATCTGAGGATCTCACAAGATTTTTGAAATTTAAGAAATTAACAAATGTTTTCATTCTCATTGCCTGAATCTTATATCCTTCCAAACTTAATATTAAAAAGTGAAAGAGAAAAGAAAAGGGCCTTTAGTAACAAAAGCCTTTAAATAGCCTTGAAAAGAATGATGCTTTTTTGCGTTTCTCTAACACATCAGAGTTGGGGGTCAGGAGCTGCAGGACAGAGGTGCCACTGAGAGCTGACCACACAAGTAAGGCCTGTCTACTGGTACCCAGGTGGGACGTCGGGTTCTGAGGGACACATCCCTGCTAGTCAGGCCCTTGGCCCACCTCATCCCTGCACTCACATGTATCTGGAAGCCATAGTTTCTCTGGACTGGATACTCTGTGACATCGTAACACGTGGACAAGTCAATTTCCCCATCTAAGTCTGCTGCCTGCCGGGAGAAATGAGAGGGTTGTAGGAGACTTAAAAAGAGCCGAGGCCCAGCTGAGCACATTTCCATGAACGACTTTCTGTACTTATCATGTTTTTAACAGGAACAGACCGTGACCCTCACCCCACCACTGCAGACTCCAGGGCCCCTCCCCTGCAGCAACCATGCCATCATTTCCCCATGTCCCTGTCCAAAGGTAGCACATGCTAGCAGCTCCCAGAGGTGCTGATGTCATAATTACTTTACACTCTTAAAAACTGATGGCCCCAAAGAGATTCTGTGTATTTACTGTTTACCTGTTGGTGACATAGACAGACAACTCCTCACTTCCTGACAGAGTTCCAGTCCCATGACTAAGCTGTTCGATAAACTGGTCGCTGAACAAGGAACTGTACATAGTATGTACTTCACAGTACTCAGAACAAAAAGACGGTCAAAGACAGCTCCATAAAGGACATAAAACTGGAGTACTGTACTGTGCAACAGCAAAAGCTACAGCAGAATAAACAATGGGGTGTATTCTACTAAAAAAGGACGCTGAGGCTGTATAAAAAAGATGCACAGGGGCTGGGGGTTTAGCTCAGCGGCACAGCGCCTGCCTGGCAAGCACAAGGTCGTGAGTTCAATTCCCGGTACCAGAAAACAAACAAACAAACAAACAAAAAAAAGATGTGCAGAAGTGTAAGAGAAAAACAGATGGGTCATAAATCCTAAGAGTGTGCCCTGGTCTTAAGTCCAAATGGTAGTTAAACAGGTAGATCCTTAAAAGAATATTTTAGCCAGGCATAGTGGCGCATGCCCGTAATCCCAGCACTCAGGAGGCTGAGGTAGGAGGATCGTTGCGAGTTCGAGGCCAGCCTGGGCTACAAAGTGAGCTCAAGGCCAACCTAAACTGCATAGCGAGACCCTGCCTCAAAAAGACTAAATAAATAAATAAATAAATAAATATTTTAGTGCCACACTAAGAATTAAAATTTTAAACATGTTTACTCATTGAAGAACAAAAATAACCCATTTCCTTTTCAAATTTAAAATATGACTAAAAATCATTCATAAAAGTGGCTTTTGTGTGTGTTTCTGCGCATTTCCTATAGGTCTAGCTTCAGAGATAGTAATTGGATTCCTCTGTTTCTGGATTCAGTCTTTTCAACGTACTGCTCTGGTCGATGCATATAAAGACGCAGTCCTCTCACGCAGTCATACAGAAAAGGAAGTTTTAATAGCCTTTTCAGGTCACTGTGCTGGTTTCCTTTGATGAACTTACACTGTGGAATCTGATTCTATCAATGAGTTTTTTGTGCTCTGTTCAATTAAAATCTGGGTAAGGATGATCGGAGTCTGGGATTGTTTTCCTACATGTGAGGGTATATCTGAAAGGTCCCAGAGTGTACCACAGAAATGGTAGAAAACACATTTGCCAAACTGTTCAACAAAGTTTTAAAAATTTTTTTGGTAAGTTAAAATAAAAACAACAAAAAACCTTCTGGTTGGTCTGGAGTCAGGACTGCCCAAAAGCTCCCCTACACCACATCCCATCTTTGTGCAGAGATGGGACGCGATTTAGTTCAGCTCTTCCAGTGGTTCAGCTCATCACAAAATCTCCTTGTGGAAAAAAGGCTGCTTATTAGCCTGAGTGCTCCAATTTCAGTGTCCTTCAAAGAACACAGAAAGCAGAGCTGCCAAAGCCCACCGCATCAAGGCCCCTGACCAGCGCCTCAGAAGAGCCCAGCACCTCAGGAGGTCAGCTGCGAGGCTGCCAAAGCAGGCTTGTCTGCACTCACTGCCCGACCAGACTCAGACTGGGACACACACTCTGTCACACACAGCTGGGGACTTCAGCCCAGGAGAAAACAGCAGCACGCCCCCAGCTCCCGGGTGCCATCTGTTCCCCGTCTCCACACGACAAGGAAGCCAAGAAACTCACCTCCTCAGCCACAGAGTCCCTGTAGTATCTCAGGCTCTGATCAGCCAGGACAAACCAGTGCTTCTTCCACTAAGAGGGAAGGACAAACAAAACACAACAAAACAAACCTTACCTTAACTGCCATGAGGCATGCTTGCTGCTCTAGAGTGATCTACAGCCAGAGTCTTGGGGCACCGCCCAGAGCACAGGTAAAGCAGGGCAGCTGGACCCATGTAGCAAGTAGCACACAGGTGACTCTGGTGAGGTGGCAGACAGCCATGCACTCACAACCTCAGGGAGGCGTGCTAAGCTGCGGCTCCTCCGTGAAAAAGCAGCAGAGAGCTGGGTGGGCCTAGGTGGAGGCTCTGTGATCCACAGGGATGGGGCTGCTGACCAGTGCTTTGCAGGCCTCCATTCCAGCTTGAGGCTGTGGACAGTGGGCCGGGCCCATCACCATGGAAAGGTGGCTGTGAAAATGGCAATGAGAGCACAGCCACTTGGCTGGCTTGGGTGTTACCAACTGCGCCAGCAAGAGCAAACTAACCCTCTAGAGTCCCAAGTCTTCACTGTGAGTAGCAAGGAAGGGAACTTGAGTCTTCAGGTAAGGCCAAGGGCATTTACACAGGAGAGAAAGAGACGATGTTGGCACAAAGACTCAGCATGTAGAAGAGGAGCCCGGCTGAGCCGGATGGGCTAGGTTTCAGGGCCTCCAGGGCAGAGGGCCAACAGGCTCCTCCTTGCTCTTATGGGGAAGGTGCACCACAGGATCTCAGCCCCAGAGAGTTCTTCCTACTTGAAGCAGATGGTGAGAATGGACCAGATTTGCTCCCCCAGAGCCTAAAGGTGTCATCACAGCTAAGGTGATCTCTGGTACCGAGATTTTTCAGCCCTGGGGAACTCTCTACTGGTTGCTGTGTATGGAAACACAAGCCACAGCTAGGGGCCTTCCTCCTCCCTAAGGACTTCAAGAAAAGACCACTCCAAGTGAGAGGCTAGTGTTACAGAATATCCCAGGCGTAAAGCCCAGAGGTGCTGCTGGCAACTGGCGGATCTGGCTGGTGCCACTTCCACCACAGCAGTAGGGGCTGTGAACCTGCACAATCATGAAGAGGCAGGGGTCCCAGCCACAGTCTGTCTGTGAGTCAAGAGTGTGCAGGAAGTAGGAGATGGAGCAAGGGCTCACAGACCCCACACCAGGGACAAGACCAGCTCCAACTCACACCTGCTCCCTCGCCCTCAAGGCCAGCAGCTGCACACACTCACCTGGCCGTCCTCGTACTGCTTGGTCAGCCAGCCTTTCTTGAAATTCAGCAGGTCAGGCTGAGAAAGAGAGAGAAAAACAAAAAAACAGCTCAGCCTCGATCATGGACAAAGCATACCCAACAGGGCTGGCATTTCTGTCCAGACAAAGTGTGCACTAGGAAAAGGAGTTTTGCCACCTGCCAGGCAAGCTGTGCACCCCCTCTTATCGCTGAAAATGCCACCTACAGGCATGTGCATCATCAAGAAAGGAGACCCCAGGCGAGCAGGGCCTCACTTGCCATGGGCAGCAGGAGCATGGGCTACCTGGTTGCCCCAAGGAATCCCTGCTCCAGCCTGCACAGAGTCAGCCACTGCTTCGCCTGGCTGGCGCAGAGAACTAGCCCAGGTGTAGAGCCTGGTACAGTCTGTAAAGGGGAATGAGTGTGGGCATGGCTGAAAGGAGAACAGAGAATCTTGCTCAAGCTACAGGAAGACAAAAACCAGAGGCCTGCAAGGCAGAGACCACCTCTGGTGGGGTTTTCTTTTTTTTTTTTTTTTGGTACTCGGAATCGAACTCAGGACCTCATGCTTGCCAGGCAGGCAGTTGTGCCATTGAGCTATATCCCCAGCCCCTACCTCTGGTGTTGAGCAGATGCAGCAGCCCTGCCCAGACCCTCAGGCTGCTCCTCCATCAGGAGGAAGCTCAGTCTGCACCAGTGTGGGACAGAAGACCAAGTGCCCAGACCCACTGTCCCCACTGCACCCATTCTACCTGCATCCTTGAGATGGCCCTGGGGCACAGAGGCAGCCTGAGAGAACACAACACTAGGACGCCTGCACCCATCTGAGTGCTGCCCTCACCCACCACCCAGCCTGTGAGGCGGGGCCCCAGACAGAGCCCAGTCCTCTCCGCTGGTCCTGCGGTTTTCTACAGCCATTCTGATCAGGAACTGGCTTTGCCATCTCTTAATATTCCAAGGTCAGTAATGGAGTTAGAACAGGTGGGAAGTAGCAGGACAACCACCAGAACAGCATGTTCTAAGAGCCCCTGCTCCAAGCGAAAACAGTGGACTGCTGCCTGGCCTAGGATGACCACCACAGGTGAAAGTCCCTCAGCAGAGACCTGCTTAACTCCCACTTCACACTGGACTGCCCTTTCACCCGTGTCTGAAGTACCCAGTGGAAAGTTGCAATGAGGAATTAGGCGGCCCCGGTCTGGATAACCTGTAAGAGGGAAAGTCTCTCTAGGTGCATTCAGTCGTCGTGGTGTAGGAGGCCTGGGATGAAGGGCTACTCTCCATTGCTCAGGTCACCCGGCCTTGCTGTGCATCTGTAAGTCCTAGGCTCTCACACTGCGAGCTGTGACTGGGTCGCTGCACCCATGCCTCTTCAGAGGAACAGTGCAGGTGGGTCCCTGCTGGCCTCTTCTATCTGGGCTTCTGCTGACTGTTGAGGGCAGTGGCTACCAGCTAAGCTCACAGTGAAACTGGTCTGTCTCAGGGTGAGAGGTGCGGAGAGGGCCCAGCATCCTCTGGAGGCTACAGACAGAGTACAGAGGAGCTGGGCCACCGTGTCAAGGGTGCCCGTGGCCGAGCTCTGACCACTCCTTCGGCGCCTCAGCCACTGCCACTCCAGGCCCAGTGGGAGGAACTGGGCAAGCCCTGCTTTCCTCTGCAATCCTGGAACAGAGCAAGCTCCCAGCATGCTGTGGCTCCTGCCTCCAAAGTGCCACAAAAACAAACACTTCAAACCAGAAGAGAAGAGGGTCCCTGCTGTGGCACAGACTCCCAAAGCCAGGACTCCTTGCACGGCCAAGGCAGCCTTCTGAGTGGAGACCTCCAAACGAGTTCAGAATGCCATGCAGTCCCTGGTTCTGCTCAGCCCAGGAAAGGGAAGAAACACAGGATTCTGCTTGTGATGGGCTGAAGGCCAGTGGGTGGGGGCCCACACAGAAGGGCTGTGCAGAAGGACAGCTGATGAGGACCCCTGGACAGAGACAGACAGTGGCCTAGTGGCCGAAGAAGCAGCGGTGACAGCAGGCCTCTCCAGAGAACTTGGTGCACGGCCCAGGCTCACCGTCATGGAGGACTCCGTGGACCTCCTGTCCAGTGACTTTGCTCTTCGGTGTGGAGACAGGGGGGAGGCCGAGGCATCTGAGAGAGGAGCTGTGGGGGTTTCACTGATGAAGTCCTGTGGCAGAGAGCAGCCGCCAGTCAGTATAGCCCAGGGCAGCGTGCACAGGCCAGTCGGGTCGTCTGTCCCTCCTTGAGCCCGTCTTGCTCCCAGCCAGGCCAGCGCTCTGTTGGGCACCCACTGCAAGTCTGTGACAGCCCGGTCCTGAGATGCCCTCGTTGTGAGAACGCCCTTTTCTTTCAGATGCTCGGTCACCACCACTCCCGACCCCACCCTCTCCTCCAGCTCCTAGGGTCACAGGAGGCTCTGTGGCAGGGAGTGGCAGCTGGACGTGGGCACCTCCTGAGCAAGAGAGAAGCCAGGGAGGAGGAGTAACTGAGGCACAGCTGGCTGTAGAAGAGGCAGGCAGGAGCATGTCCAAGAGCAAGAGGACTGCTGGGCTGACCTACCCCACAGACCAAGCAGAGGAACAAAGCTACAGCTGCTGCCCAAAAGTCAGGAAGGAAGAAAGGCATGTTCAGCCTTGTGGCCAGGCTGCCTCAGAGAGGAAGAGAACAGTCTAGTTACGACGTGGGATCTAAACTCCTCCAATGCCTCTGGCGAAGAGCGGAGCTCTGGAAGGAAGCTGTGGAAGAGAGCCGGCCCCCGAGAGGCTCACTAATTGGAGAGGACTAGAGAGTGGAGGCCGGTGGAATTGCACCCCCAGCTGTAGGGGTGGTGGCAGAGACGCAGACCTGTGAGGCTGTGTGCTGCCTGGACCCCAGCCACCCACAGGCCCGCCTGGGCCTCAGCGCTCCAGCCCCGGCAGCTCACCCGCTTCCGGGGAAAGGCTCTCTTTTCACTGCGGCCCTGGCGAGTGTCGCTGGACGGGGAGGGCCCGGCTGACAGGTCTGTCTCCATGTGCTCTGCCTTCTCAATGTCCAAGGCCTCAAATTTCTCAATCACCTGCGACCTTCTGCAAGAAAAGATAGGGGGCGGCTGCGGTGAGGCTGAGTCTCTCCTGTTCCCAAGGCGGCTTGGTCCTAAGTGGAGTAGGGGCTCCTCCAGCCACCCACCTATGCCAGGCTGAGCTGGCTGCCCCCATGCCAGCATCCCTTGGCTCCCCTGCTGAGTGTGGAGCGTTGCACGACACCGACCAAGCTTCCTGGCACAGGCCGGTCAGCCTGAGTCCCACCCGTGCCCTGTCCACGAGTGCCGAAACAGCCTGGGGCTCAGGCCTCCTTGCCAGGTGCACACTCGCCCCACCCCACACTGCAGGCCCCACAGGCTGGAGCGCTGACCCACGTGGCTGCACACGGCTGGTCACTAGCACCCTCTCCTGAGCCACAGACAGTCAGAGGCGACCACCACCTTGGAGGGCTCTGCGGCACTGCCCTCTCCACTCACAACGCAGACCTGCCCCAATGCACCCAGAACTCAGCAGACAAGAGGCCCACGGACTGACACTATTTCTGCCAGTGGTTAAAAGGGATCGAAAACCAAATCGAAAACAAAGCAGGTTGATTCATATGAGAGGGCTGGTGGCCGCGCCAGGTGGTCTACTGCCGACGGAGCTGAGATGGGAGCGAAGCGGGTGGAGAAGGCGCGAACGCCACAGCGACACAGCAGAGGGCGGAGAGGGCAAGACCTGAAAGAAAACAAGGCTGGAAAATGAATAAACAGAAAAGGACTGCTTGTAAAATCAAATAATGGTAAATCAAAATTACTCAAAGAATCGAAGAAGCAAAAACCCAAGGTGATCGTGGAAAAGGGAGAAGCAACCGTGATTGTCCCGCAGCCCCGGAGTCACCGCAGGCAGCCGGTCGGGAGGCTCTCACTCTCTGGGCGGCCCACCCCACAAGGGAACACGGGGCTCGAACTTGGACGTGGCCGAGAGCAGCCCTCTTCCCCAGACCCAAGGCCTGTACTCCAAGGCACACCTTAATCCCCTCGTGGGGAGGGCTTCACTTGAGTTCTGGACAAGTGGCAGAGAACTGAGGGGAAGCAGGAAAGGGCCCCACAGCCGGAAGACTAAGACCTAACTAGGAGGAAGGGGAAGAGGGAGTGGCTTAGACCCTTCGGGGCCTGTGCCCCAAGCGGAGGGTACCAGCTAGGCATGGGCAGAGGTCTGGGGCACTAGGCTCTGCTTTCTCCTCCCCAGCCTCCTCACACGTCTCTTCAGCAAGGGGCTCGTGCTGGGCCAGCCTGATGCAGCAGCAGCTGAGGGGGCAGCAGAGGAAGCAGACTGAGGACAGGGAGCTACAGAAGCTACTGGGTCACGGGGCTCTAAGGAAAGCCTTGGTGAGTGCAGGCTGGCATCCTCCACAGGTAAACCACTGTGACGCATCGTGGTGTCCAGGTCCTACTCACTGTGGGGCCGAGAAAGGCCCAAGGAAGCAGTGAGTGCTGTGCCAGGCTGGAACTGCATGCACGCTGCATGCTGTGGAGCTGTGGAGCTCCAGGCACAAGAGGCAAGAGTGGAAAAAGGGAAGGCGCTTGCTGCAGCCGCTCCACACGGCCCCAGGGAGATGCTGTGAGACCACAGGCTCAGGCAACCTTTGCCACGGTCACGCACAGGTGCAAAGTTACCAACATGGCACTCTTGAAGGATCCCAAGTGGGACTGCAATCACTTCACCCAGGCAGCATCGAGACTAGCTGCTGCCTCCTGCAGCAACTGGCTTCCCAGTGAATTAACTGCAATATGATAAGGGTGGCAGGTCAGGACCACAGGGAACTCACCCTCCTGTCAATCACCAGCAGTCCCACAAGGGCTTTCCTGCACTCAGCAGCCAGAGACAACTCACTGCCCAAGAATCATCGGCAAATGCTCCAGGTGTCTGAAGGGCAGACACCTGGGAACCTAGAACACATTGTGTTCAGACAGGACTGCAGATCAGCTTAGCCGAGGCTTGTCAAGAAACCGACACCTGGTCTTAGCTGCCCAGCTTCAAGGCAACCCTGTCCTAGCTGCCACTCAGGGGACTGTGGCTGACTTCCTTCCACGTTGGAGATGCTCTAATTTGCCAAGGGACAGGATCCAATCCAGCACAACATGGCTTATTTGGGATCCAGTGAGCGGCCCTCAGAGAGTGACAGCAGCCATTTGGAGATCCTTAGGGCCAGTGAGGAAGGGACAGTCACAAGGTTAGAATGCAGAGCAGGGGAGTTCAAGGTGCCATCACCAGCTGAAATCCATGCTCATGTGGTGGGAAGCATGCAAGAGCAAAGCCCCAGAGACCACGTCTATTCTAGGCCAGGAAATGAGAATGAGTTCAAAAAGAAATTTCTTCAAGAAGTGGTCAAGCCAAGCAGGTGTGCAGAACGTTAATTCTGTGGTCTGGTGCTAATCCAGCACGTGGTTATTCCTGCTCAGAAGCCACCGCAACACACAGCCTGCTGCCAGCCCGCACAAAGCCTCCCCTGCCTGTCCCGCCAGCTTCCTCAGTCACTAGCAAGACCCTCTACTTGTATGTTTGCTTACAAAAAGGCCTTGGGCCCCAGTCCTGGGTCACATCATGGGATCAAGGACTTCTGGCTAAGGACTCACTAGAAGGGAGTCATCCTGTTTCTGAATGTGGGGACCCACTAGCAGAGGATCATCACAGGAGGTCATCCTGTTTCTGAGCCATAGTTTTCACATCTACAAACTAGGGGAGGTAATAACAGGCACCTTGATGAGCTACCAATGAAATATGACAAGTGTGTGGACATTCTGCTTCCTCTTTTCTCAAGATCAGCAACTCGAGAAGCTTTCCTTTTCCTGGAAGTTGATCTGAAGGCCCATAGGCTCTCTGTCTAGGACATGAGAATGGGTAGGTGGGCTGTCAGCTAACATGGGCTAAGGAAAGGAGGCAGGAGATAGAGATACCTCCTCAAACCTGCCCCGCCCCGCCCCGCCCAGAACCAAAGTCCATGCCCCATTCCCTACCCCCGTCCCTTTCTTTTTTGAGACAGGGTTTCACTATGCAGTTCAGGCTGGCCTCAAACTCACGTTGTAGCCCAGGCTGGCCTCAAACTCAAAAGTGATCCTCCTGCCTCAGCCTCCTAAGTGTTGACCCAACAGCATATCTAACTCTGAGCTATAGGCTGTGCCCAAGTTAGGAAGAACACTGCGGACAAAAATTTTTGAACGTAAGTCTTAAATCTCTTTTTCTGGACAGTAAAGTTCTTTGAAAACCTAATGAAAGCTATAGGTTTTCTGTCCAGAAAATGTATACATGTACTCCTAAATTACTCTGGCAGAGGGGTCATAGATCTCTAGGTGTCTATCCACAAAGCCAGGTGAGGAGCCATCTAGTCTAGGAAAAAATCCCATTTATAGACAGTGGGGTGCCCTTTGAGGGGCACGCGGGTAACTGTCCAGGTCTAAGCCTGGGGAAGCCTCAGGTAGAATTGTCTCCAGTTCCCAGGAAGCCCAGGTCAGTAGGGTAAGGAAAGGGCAGGCAGGAGCTTCCTCTTCTTAGACAGCAGTGAGCTGTCTTTGCCCTTGTCCAGGTTGTCCACACCCTACTGCTCCCCAGGAGCAGGGCTCCACTCTGCCTTCCAATTCAGCCAAGAGGGCAGTAATGATCAAGAAAGCAGCAGTGACGCCATCATGCACGTGATAGCTTCACAGGCCTCCGCGGGCTTCCCTGTGGGTCATGGAAGTATGTCCTCAAGGGAGGAGCTGGCACTGTCCTTGCACTTCCTCAACGCCCCCTGCCCATCCTAGGACTGCCAGGTAAGGAAAGCCTGTCCCCACTTGCAGCTCTAGCACCATCTCAGAGAACAAAAGAGGGCCACGAAGCACCTGATCCAGCCCTACATAAGGCCTGGCAGCTGTACACACCCTAGGAGCCCCCGAGGTTCCAATCCAGGAGGCACTGGCCACAAGAGCCCATGCCTCTGGGTGCTCAGAAATCCTGGATCTGGTTTCCAGAAGCTGTGTTCCTGAGCTGATCAAGGGCCCACAGAGAGAGGTACTTTATACTCTTAACAAAAAGCCATCTCCTCAAAGAAGCTTAGGGAGAGTGTGTGTGAGAACACGTATGCAGGCATGTGTGCACGCATGACCGTATGACAGTACAGCCCTCTAATTCCTTCCTTACCTCCGCTCGTTGCCAAATAGACGGGCCACCTCTTCCCTGCCAGGGCTCCGGGCCCGAGTCCTACGCTCCAGTCGCCTTCTCTCCACCTGGAAGGCTTCTCGGTGGCTGATCCTGATGGCCTTAGGGACGTCGGCCAGGGCAGCATACTGCCTGGTGGCTTTAAAGGCAAAGGCACTCCCCAGTCTCTCTGTCCCCCGCCCCCCAGTGCTGCTGGAGTCCACGCTGGCAGAGCGCCGGCTGGCCTCTTCTACGGAGCTGAGAGAGATGCTGCAGACCATTCGGCTGGGGTCTCGAGGACCTGAGGAGTGAAGGGGATGACCAAACTTCTGGGAGAGTGATTTGGGGTAACTGTACCTGTTGTTGGGGGTGCTAGGGCTAGGAGGGGAGCGCGGCGGGGGCAGCTGCTGCTCCTCAGCCTTCAAGTCCTGCTTGGTCTTTTCCAGTGAGAAGTAGCCACTCTCCACCCGCACTTTGCGGCCACAGTCCATGCGGTCGCTATTCATGGCGCTCTCCTCTGGAAGAGAGAAGGGGAGGAGGTCACACTCAGCCTGCTGCGGCCTACACTGCGAGCAAGTCTTGAAAGTCTCACACATGGTCCCAAAGGGGCCATCCCTCCACCTTCCATCTCCAGTGCTTACTGGGGGTTGCTGAAGGGCAGAGTTGGAAGGAAAGAACTACAGGATAGCACGTTCCCCTCATCCACTCTCCCCGGAATCTGGCCCAGATTGAGGTGGGCCCTTCACGTTTAGTGTGGGGCTGGGCAGGGACAACAGGATCCCGTCTCAGGAGGGAAGATATCACACCAATTGCTTATCAAATCTCTAGAAGGAAACCAGTGGCCAACCACTCAGGCTCTCAAATTTGGGGTGGAAAGGAGCAGAGGCTTCTGCACACATGAGACGGAGTGGATGAATTATAAACGGGATGAGTGTGCTACCAAAGACCTCAGACAACATGCGCCTACAGCACGTGTAAATAAGATGCACTCCAGCCGTGACCCACTGGGCCGGCCCCTACAGTGCACTCTTCCTTCGTGATCTGGACAAAATACAAATGGGGAAAGCCAGCCTGCTGCAGAACCTAGGTTCTGAGACCAGGGAGGCAGAGACAAAAAACTCTACAACTGCTTAAGCAAGTCCAAGAGCTCAGTGGAGAGGGCATGGTGGTATCAGCTGCTTCCTCTCCAGAACTCTCTTCCCTCACTCTAGCCAGCGTCCCGGGCAGGATGGGGATGAGGAGGAGAGGGGCAAGACTGTCCTCACTACTGCTTGTCTCAGGACAGTGGAGGCACTGTAGGCTAATACGGCTAAGAATCCACGTGGTGCAGGCAGAGGCCTCCTCACACGTGGCCCTTGCTATACAGCCTTCCTGATTCTTCTGACACCTGCCTGGGGTTAGAAGAGTAGGTGCTGTTCTCCTTTCTATAGATGAGACTTAGGAGCTAGAAGGGACAAGGCCACGACCACAGCTGATGTACAAAGAAAAGGTGAGGTCCCGGGCCCAGACAGCACTCCTCAGGCTCCCGACCAAGCCCACAGTTAGCTCCTACCCCTGGGATGAGGCCCCAGGAGATGGGCACCAGGACATGCAGGCAGGCCAGCCAGGTCCCACTCACCTTCTTTGCTCTCCAGCCCTGGTTCCCGCAGGGAGCTGGCAGAAGGCGGCTGGCTCTGCCTGGGACTCTGAGCTGGACTCAGGTTGCTCCCATCAGGCTGGTCCTTGGCCCTCATTTCTTCCTGCCAGAGCGTGGATTTGGTGGTAGGGACTTTTTCTGCACTGGGGATGCTGCTGCTGTTGCTGGTGACAGCCACCTTGGCAGGCCCGGGCTCCTGGGGAGACAGTGGTGTCAGTGGGGGCATCTGAGCAAACAGCCTGAGCTGGTTCACAGGTCCTAGCTGCCCAGCTATGGAGGATGCCAGATCAGCTACATAGTTTCAGAGTCCAGGAAGCCCCAGAAAGGGGTCCTGTGTGCCCCCTTGCACACAGGAAAGCTGTGAAACACAGAGGAGGCTCCATCCCAGTGGCGCAGTGGCCCTCTCACCTCTAGGGCACTGGATACCTGATCCAAGAGGCCTCAGGCCACCTTGGCAAAGGTAGAGGAAAGGCCCAGGTTTCTGTGAGAGTCCTCTCACCAGACACATGCCAGCTCTCCCCATCCATGCCACCACTCAGTACCCAGAACAGTGGCCCAGACATGGAAGAGAAAACCAGAGAAGCTGCTTCGTGGTCTCATCATCCCTACACTCCCAGGTACTTTAGACACCACATATGGAGATGGGACAGGGTCAGGGAGGGGAACAGGCCTTCAAGCCAGGCCCACTGTCATCTGCAGAGCCTCAGTGAATGCAGACAGCAACTTTCCATGACATCTAAGCCTGGCCAGTCCTGTGGCCTCACCCACCTTCCACCCAGGAACCTAAGAAGCTAAAATGGAATACCCACACAGTACGTGAGGGAAAGAGTCATCAGTGTAAGCCAAATGTTATCTCCTCAATGTTCATGTGTGGAGATCCTCTTCCGCCAATGCCAGGGCACTAAGAGGTAAGTGCCTGGGTCATGAGAATGAAGAGGGGGTATCAGTGCCCTTATACAAGAGGCCCCAGAGAAGGGGCCTTGCCCCTTCCACCATGCGAGGAGCAGGAAGTGGGCCCTCACCAGACACTAGATCTCCTGCAGCCTTATCCTGGATTTCCCAATCTCCACGGCTGTGAGAAAATAACTGTCTGCTCTTCAAGCCACCTGGTCTATGGTATTTTGTTACAGCAGTGGGAATAGACTAAGACAACAAATACCCACTCAAATCTGCAAACACACGCACACGCTCACACATGCCTGTGCAAATGTGCTCTCCTGCACACACTCGTGCCTGTGAAAATGTGCTCTCCTGCACACGCTCACGCGTGCCTGTGTGCAAATGCGCTCTCCTGCATGCGCTCACACGTGGCCGTGTGCAAATGCTCTCCTGCACGCGCTCACACGTGGCCGTGTGCAAATGCGCTCTCCTGCACGCGCTCACACGTGCCTGTGTGCAAATGCGCTCTCCTGCACGGGCTCACACGTGCCTGTGTGCAAATGCGCTCTCGTGCACGCGCTCACAC